GTATAAAATAATTTATTATACGTTATTAATTTATACAGTGTTATACAAAGACAAAAAATAGATAGCAATATTAACATAAAATATTCAAAAACTCAACGTAAAAGAGTATTAAATTATACATCACATGAACTCTAATATGGATGTTGTAAATCTGAATTGTTAAATACATTTCGTAATCAAAAAAAAAAAAAAAAAAAAATCAAAAAAAAAAAAAATTAACACAGAGAGCGTTTTGCGTTTTCTTTATAATAATTTACAACATATAACGTCAAGTATACGTATATACATATTATTTGATATTTATTATTTTTGAGTAGCATTTTATTTTACTAAGATATTATATTACTAGGGTCAATGTAACATTATGTTTTTTTTTTTTTTAGATTATAACAGAACTTGTTAAATGCGTGTCAGTGCGTGCGTCTTGCATGGGTAACTAGTCAGTAATTTCCATAGAGGTAATTTTCGGAGAGGTCCATAACTTTCTTCTAATAACTGCCTTCAAGTGAAAATTTATCAACACGCAGCCTCTGACTTTTCTGACCAATCTGACTTTCGCCTGAAATCCTAACCATTGTTTAAACACGAACAGAATGTTTTTGTAATCTGTGAAACCAGCTCATCGATATATATTTAGTTTGATATAATATACATACGCATACATTTACTTATATGTACATTCGACTATCGTAATTCAGAGTACATATGTTATATTTTAAAACTAATTTCAATATTTTAGGCGTAAAGGTTTTAATTGCTTTGAAAGCTGAATAAATTAATCAATAATAGACGCATTAATTAATTCAGCTATTAATTTATGTTATACATTTTTTGTACGGTAATTTGGCAGAAATTGACTATAATGGCACGCAATAAAATTATATTCCATAAAAATATAATCATAGGAAGGATAAGAGGCAAAAAGCTTATGTACCAATGATCTTTCCCGCATTGTATTGAAATCGGTGGATCTCATTCTGAGAAATATCATAGTATTTTGCCTGGCAAAACTCATGGATTTAATTTTCAAAAATAAAAAAATAGCTGACTTAGCACGCGGCAACGCAATTTGTTTACTACAAATATCTATTTATTATCAAGAATGGTATTAATTATCTTAAAACTTGTTAATTTTTTTCTAATTTTTTCGTATTTATTCGCAAGTGTTAAATATTATAATATTTCCATAATTATTTTTCATTATTTGTTTAATTGATTGTAATTTTTTGTGAGACTTGTTTACTGTATCTGGAAAATTCAATATAATATTTGGAAATTGATTTTGATTTTTATGCTAAGGAATAATATTTCTCGTTTTCTATACGAGTGTATAATATATATTATACGGACACGCACAAACTCCCCCCCCCCATCGCCCCTCATCCTATAGACATACGCGCGAATGCGTGGGTCCATGCACGTATTATTAATCGTTTAATTCATATAAATTAGAAGGTCTTTTAACATTATTGCCAACTATTAAAGAATGTACGAAGTATTATAGTAAAATTCACATTTCCGAATGTACGCCAAATCTTATATTTTCTTCGGTTAAATGAGTACATACATTATTGAAAAATTTAACTATATATATCATAATGACAAAAATTAAAAAATAGAGGGAGCATATATTGCATCAAGTAATTTGTTAGTTTAATTATTATAAAACTTGGAAATGTTAGAGATATTTTAGATTGTAAAAACTTCAGCAATTTCTATGTTATTCAAAATTCATATCAATTATTACACATTTTTTTACATAAAAATTAATTGACACGCCAACTTAAATATTATTTATATAATACATAGTATTGTTTAATATTATTCGTTAAACAATAGTTCCATTTTGTTGATCCATAAATACTTTTAGATAATCAATCTCACTTTAAATTAAACAAAGGCACATTACATTTTCATAAACTTACATTACACATATACATTTCACAATTTAAATTATTTTCTTAATCTAAGAAACGGTAAAAAGTAGTTATATTTTACATTACAATATGTCAAAGGAAACTAGTGAAAATTTTTATTATTATTCGTATCGTATAGAGTAATGTATATATAATTAAATGCTGTTTTCACAGTTTCAGTGTCTAAATTATGTAAATCCAAAATTTCTAGAGATTTAATTCATTGAAATTTTATGACATAATGTGGATACACATTGAAAAAGTCAAAAAGTTCTGAGATTTTATTAACCCAATAATTTATTACAAAATTAATTACAGACGGATAGGCTACATGTAAAATTTAATCGTATGTTTTACTTAATCTCATATATAAAAATGAGGAGAAGATAAATGAGTCGTTTTATCTAGTATTTGATAGATAATTAATAATACACCTATTTGTTATAAGTAGGAAAAAAATTATGTGCAAGAATTTTTCGGAATATTTGCTCAGTGAGACTGCTGATATCAATCAGTCGAAATAATTGCATGTAAAAGTATATCGGCATTATATGCAATTATAGACATTATAAGAATTATCAAGCACCTGATATGTTGAAATATTTATTCGACAATAGCACGTATTTATGTTGATATATAAAAAATTATACAATACTTTTATTAAAGTGCATACAGCTTATATTACAATTATGAATTTATATTGTTACGCAATGCGATTGCATAATATGTTTCATAACGTCTATAGAGTTATCACTTTCATAATTATAAAGCTACAATATTATAACAGGCATTTTATATTTCATTTGTATTAAAGTATATGTTGCAAGCTTATATTAATGAAGCAACAGCAAAGTGTTAGTAAAATTATTGTTGACGCCTTATCTACATTTTTAATAAATTTTATCTTACGGAAATCTAAGTGTATAATGTATAATAGGAATATTCGAATAAGGCTTATAAAAATTTAACATACCAACAAAAAATTTATGAATTTTATTAACGCGGATTATTTTAAGATTTTTTTTTTATTAATTTGACATAATTATCGATCATAATATCTTACTGTAAAATTTACAATTTAATTTTTTCAGAATATCCGTAGTGTTTTCATTTTTTATCTAATTTAGTGGATTTCTGTTAGAATACATAATACTTATGTTAACATATATCGAATGGATTTTTTGATGCTCTACTCGTACAATTTAAAAAATTATTTCTTACAAGATCCATAAAAGCTTATGTATCTTAGTTCTTTTAAGTTTATGTATTAAATTTTGTATTTGTATAAAGTCTACGTAAATGCCATTCCCGTGCGGCGGTTTTAAATAACATTTTACATAAATCTATTTCATTCAAGTAAACTGGAATACACTTTATAAATATTTAATTTACCTGTTATGTAATGATTTAACCCTTTTTCCGATTTTAATACTATTGACAAAAAATTTATCTCAAGATATCTTGAACTTTTTGGTATAGTATTTAGAAACGTTAATATTCTCATATTGTGAAATATTTGTTTTCTAATTATTAAAGAAAAAGTAAAGATTTTTAAGCTTGTGAAGTTTCCAGTTTATATGTTTAGTTAAAATATAGATTATAGATATTATTTATTATGTACAGATTTTCAATTTGATAAGATAAACTAAAGAATACTATTGTTCTTAGAACAAAATTCATAATTAATACAGATATTTTGACAAGTTAAATTTTTCATTTGTATACGATTCGGTATATTTTATTTCTCATATTTAAACTTTTCTTAATTTAGACGTTTTTAACTGAAAATTACATAGTAAAAAAGGGAAATTCAGTTGATTTGTATTTTCATTAATTATGCGTCAATTTCACACATAATTTAAACAAGTAATAACAATAATTAATCGTATGCTGTTTCTTCATTTCCGTGTTTTTCTTCAACCCCAAACATATTAATGATTAATTTAATTGGTACTATAATATGCAATGAATTTTTATATATAAAAATGAAGATAAAAATAATAATATTTTATTTTTATTATTTCATTTTAATTTCCTTTATATTGTGAATCGTTTAAAAAATATTAGATGCTATTAAATTAAAAACGAAAAAAAAACTTATAGTTTAATCATTTTTGTAACGGTGATTATAATAATATATTCATTTTTTATCATTTGCTTCACTTTTAATTACAAAAAAATTAAAAAAAAAATCTCTCGATTAAACAATCTTAATTGATATTTTTATTAATCAATTATTAAAATTAATTGTCTTATAAAGATTATTTAATTATCACCATAATATTCTGGATATTCTAATAAAAATTCTATTATATAATTAAATGTTCTTTTAATTTAAAAATTACATTTTTTTAATGTAAATTTTTAATTATATTACATTTGAATAATTTAAATTAATATAAATTTTTCAGATTTTCTATAAGTTAAATTGTTTAATAAATAAACAACTGTACTTTATTGATGTTTATGTTTTTTTTTTATTACCCCTGTAATTTTGTAATAATCTCAAGATTATTTAAATTTTGTATAATTTATACAGATATTTATATGATTAATTACCGTTTGAACTTAAAATTTGGAATAAGTGTTAATATTACCTCTTTTCTCAACACTTCGTATACATTTTTTGAGTTTACAAGTTACGTAATGGAAAATATACAATGACAAAATAAATATATCAAGGAATAATTATATGATATCACGAAATTTAGTATACATATATAAAGCATTGATAATATTTCATATTTAGTGATTTATATTTAAATATCGCAATGCGTTTTCAACTTGTAATCATTTTATATTTAGGATTAAGTCTTGGTACATCAATGAAAATTGTTTTATTTTTCAATGTTATTTTATAAATGCTTAGAAAAAATTTTTTTTTTTTTTTCTTGAAAATACAATATTCTTCCTTGTACAAGGCAAAGTAGATGCAAAAATACGTGATTTATCGAAGCGGTTGCTTACTTTCATTTATATTTAATTCTTTTATATATTCATTAATATATTTCAATTTTCACTAAGAAATTATGAGCAAATTATGTAATTATAAAATTCATTATACTATATTTTTGCATTTTTTAAGGTATTTTTGGAAGAAATTCAAGGATTATTGGCAGTATTCCTGCCTCTATAAAAGATTTTCCTTTTATCGTATCAATTAGGGTCGCATCGAGTAATCAATTCCTTTGCGCTGGTTCAATTATCAGTCATTGGAATATCCTTACGTCTGCTCAGGGTCTATATAATTATAATTATTCTGATATAGCAATATATGCAGGTATAAAGAGTTCAAAGAACACTGATGGAACAAAATTTCAAATTGCGAATGTGACATTTCATCCTAAATTTAAGGAATTAATGAAGTTAACTTTAATATATAATTATGATATTGCGATTATAAAGGTGTGCAAAAAATACTTAAAATATGGAATGTTTCCAATTTATTTACATTATTTTTAACAAAATCTTATGAATACAAAACTACAACTTGTTTTAACATAAAATTTTAGAAAAGCATTTCCACAGTTCAGTAATAAATATTTAAATTATGTTTAAAATACTATTTTACGAATTGTTATCACGTAAAAACTGAAATCGAATCATATCTTTAATATTTACTATAATATATTTTAGAATGATAATTTTTATTCGAAGCATATTTCTTTTTTTTTTTTGTCATCTAAATATAAAATACCACTCGTGATAATAGAAAAAGAAATATAATTTATAACATAAAACATTATTCCTCATTTATTGTGCATATATATATATATATATATATATATATATATATATATATATATATATATATATATATGATATTTTTATGCTTATTTGAATAAATGTATTAATTTCTTTTTATAACAGTATGCATTTCTAAATGTTCTATTAAAAAAAAAAAAATTAATGTAGAAACATCACTTTTATGTTTGCAGATTGTAATAACACGTAGTCGAATAATTACTTTTACATTTCTTAATTCTTAACAAAAAATGTTCCGCACCATGTATTATAGATTATTTAATTTTATTCATATGAAATCATTCTTATCAAATAAATAAGAGTATTAATTAAAAAAATTTTTTAATATTATACAATTATACATAGGAATGAATAATATATACGAACACTTGTAAATTGCAATTAAATAGCGATTTCTGAGATTCCTTTCAATTTTATTTTATTGCAGTATGATAGTTTTATTCTTAAGCATACATCATTCCATATATTTTCCGTTATTTATTAAAAAGAGATGAATTTATATCATACAGCTACATAATTTATTTATCAAACTTTTCACAACACAAAGAATTTATTGCAGGTTGATAAACGTATTGAGTATAATTTATTTCAAAGAAATATAAATCTCCCAACTAAAGATATTTCTACCGGCAATCTTGCTGTTATTGCTGGTTGGGGAACAACAATTTATCCAAATGGTAATATTTCTGATGAGCTTCGGAAATCGCCAATGATCATATTTCACAATGTTCATTGCACGTTCAAACTTCAGGCAATACTTAATGATGATCAATTGTGTGCATATAATGAGATAGGAGTGGGGGCGTGTACAGTAAGTTTTTAAAAATCATTTCTTTATCCGTGGCATAATAATCATTCTGATTTTTTAATTATGATTTTTTAATATGCTGTAATCAGTTTGAGGAAATGTAACTAGTGTTTGTTTATAATTGCATTTTAAATAATAAATAGCTGTTTATTTCGAATTTAATATGATTATATTGTAATAATTTAATATTAAATGTTTTACAAGTGAATTAAAGGATTATTAATCAATGTAAATAATTAAATGTTTTTTAGGGCGACAGCGGTGGCCCAGTAATTCATGATAACAAAATAATTGGCATTATATCTTTGACTTATGGTTGCGCCTTAGGTTTGCCCGACATACATACCAAAGTTTATACATATCTCAATTTTATAAAAGATATTATAGAAAATTAATAATTGCGTATAAAATTTATTTATAATGTAGTTATAATAAAAATTAAAATGATTACGTCGTTGATTGTAGTTATAACCATCGTCATTATTATCATATATGAATAAGATTAAGGAATTTAAATAATCAATTCAGTAATATAAAAATATTATAATATATTTATGTTTTATTTATTAATAAAGGTATAAATATTTATTGACAAAATTTTAACATACGTGTATTAATTTCTTTTTGGTTTCCGTTACAGTAGAAGCTTCCAGTGAATTTACATGCAGGTATATTTGCTTTTATTTATTTGCTTATATTATAAAAAAAAAAAAACAATGATCTGCTAATAATATCGTTAATAAGCGTTTAATTATATATATATTCAAATTTAGTCTTAATTTACTATTTGAATTATATTATATTGTATTCCAGTTAATCATAAATTGTTTTAAGCTTATCGGCGGTGTAGCCAAAAGTTATAATTTACATAAAGCTGTAACACTTTGATTGGAATTGGAATTTTAAAAAAGAATTTTGGTAATATACTTAATTGGCTTAACTATTAGCTGGTAATTTTTATTATATTTACATTCCGAGAAATAAGTTTGCTACACTTAAAAATATTATAATTATTCATTTACTAATTTTGTTGCCTCTTTAATTTGCTGAGAATATAGCCGTAGAAGGTAAACCTGGAAATGACGTTCTTTGTGTCATTTTAGGCTTTCCTCGTAATATCGTAGGGCCATCATTCAGCAAACTACACTGGTTCAATACCCTGAAAATTTAAACTTTCTTTTCTAAAATGTACGAGTATGTAGGAGACACGTTGAAGGCGTTGATGTCTTGCATTGATAAAATAATTTACTTTAATTGTTACATCAAGAGAGTATATTAAGTAATGGACATAGCTATATTATATCTGCGAATTATCATTTGCTTCATGATTGCAATTAGGAGAAAGTTTGTTTTTTATATTATGTATGTATACAAGCACATTAGGGAGAACTAATGTCAAACTTACAAACCTTATATTTTGAAATATATTGGATTATATCAAATTTCAACAAGTCTATAATAATAAGTATGTGGTTAGAAATTAATAAATGACATATATTAATGTGAAGGTAGAGAAGATGCCAAATAGAGTGAAGAAATCAGTAAATTGTGTGAACAAAAAGCGGCGAGGATAAAACAATAAGAGCATAAGATAATTCAATATTCAACCTTGTATTCTTTGAAAGCTTAATCATTTTTTAAAACAAATGTGTTGTAGTAAATAGACTAAAAATGATAATGATAATGATAAGTGAAACACGTGAAACACGAGAAATGCTAATACTAAGATGATTTGATTTAAAAATATTGTAAAATGAGTATCTTTATATTATTTATAATCCCTAAAGAACCAACATTGTTTAACACCAACAACATTTTTTATATGATTGTTTAAAATTATAAATTTAATTTGAATGCTACGAAGATAACTTTTTCTACGAATATTTATCGTATTTAGTCGACAGCATAAACAATATATTTATATTTAAATTCAACACTTTAATATTTTTAATTTTGAATAATCATATATCGAATTATAGACTTTACAGATTCATTTATAATATAAATATTTTGATAATTCGATTGTCAGATAGTTTTTTTTTTTTTTTAAATAATAACAATACAATTATTACGGATTTCTACAATTTATTTATTGGTTTGTAATGATTAGCACACAAAAATAAACTTATTTTATTCTATTATTTAAGTTATGTTTAAGCATAATTTAAAGTATATTTATGAAATACAATAGCGATTGTTATTCCAATTATGAAATTATTTATTTTTCAAATTTTTTATTATTAATATTAAAAATATCATGAATAATAGTTAATATAAATTATTATTTATATAATATACAATTTAAATTATAATTATTATATTAAATATGCTTTGGAATATAAAATATCAAACAGAATTGTAGTTTTATACAATATAAAATATTTTCCATAAATAGATTGTTCGCATAAACAAAATTTTAATATAAATATTATTTTATGTTTAAAACTTAATTATTAATATTAAACTATGAAATTTGAAATTATCTAGAGCGATATATGAATGGCAGACTGGTAACAAAAATTGAAGGCATTATTTATTAAGAAATATTAGAGAATTTATTCAAGATAAAATTATTAAAAATTTTAATTATGCGATAAAAAAAAATATATGGTAAAATTAAAATATATGATATGACAGAATATATAATATAAGAGATTTGATTTTTTTATGAAAAAATTTATATTTCGTATATATTTGCTTTACTGTTATTAAAATATTTGTAGCCATATTATACATTAATTTTTTAATTTCTTTATGATAACAAAATTATAAGAATAATATCGAAACAATTTACAATACTTCGTGTGATCTATATAGTACTTTACAATTTACTAAATACAATTTAACAAGTACTTTTTTTCAAATGGATTAGAAACAATACATCGAGAAATTTTAATAAATGGAGGTGAAAATTTAAAATCATATTTCTCAAGCATAAACGAATTATTTTCTAAGTTCAATAAATTTGTATTCGAAATAATTAATCGCAAAATATTATATTTTTTTTTCTTTATATTTTTTAATAATACTAATGCAATTTAATTCCTCATATTTATTTTTATAAATTTTAACACTTCTTTATTTACAAACTTCATATACAAATGTTGTAAATAAATCAATTCCATTAATAAAACAAAATTATACGTACCATATTAATATATTTTAAAATATCTATAGTTTGTATTTATAAAATTTCATTAACAAGTGGTCAGATCAATTCCGGTTTAATGAAAAGTGATCTCAGCTCCTTATAGTTGTATATTATTTTTAAGAAATATGAAGTTGCGATTGAATCGTCGTAGTTATAAAATTAAATTAATCAAAGATACACATTGACCAATTTATCTTATTTATTTATTTATCTCTCTATTCAGATTAGCCTATAATATTAATATAAATAATTACGAGAGTATAGTTTTTTACATTATTAATTTTATTCGAAATAAAAATAAGTAATTGTACCAAAAAGATTTTAATAAAATCCATGAAAATTATTTATTCATACATGTACAAATATTCAAAATTTCTTGTAACATTCGAATACGTCGGAGTATTTTACTTTATTAATAGACATATAAGTTTCCCGTTAACCATTTTTTAAAAGAAAATTTTCTTATAACGTCATAAATTTGTAAATTTGTTATCGCAGTGGCAATGAACTACTCATTATACAATTACTTGTTCATTTACATATGGTTTCCAAATTTATCCCACAACACAAACTATATTGTATTGTTATAACACTAAATTCCATTTCATATATATATTACATCTTTTTCTTTGGCATAATGACAATTAGCAAAAAATATTTACTCATTATATCAGGTATATAGAGATAATTTTGGTAAAATTAATGATGAAAATCATATGGTATTATTATTTCATTACAGTTATCAATAAGTATAATTAATTTTACAAAAATTTAATTATTTTCTCTTAAAATTATCAATAGTTAAGACTTTAACTTTAAATATTTTAAATTCTCTGTTAGAATACATATTAGCTTGCAGTTCTACCAGTGATTACGTTTTCACTTCTAATGTCAATATTATATTATAATAACCTCCAACATGTTTGTATTTTAGTATTTTGTCTTTATATTATCTGAAATTTGTAATGAAAATGGTACAATATCATGATTAAAGAATAAATATTAATAGAATAATCATTGGCTATCGATTATGAAAAGATAACATATCTCTAAATATAAAAAACATAATCAAATTTTATTTTCGTTCATAGAAACTTCAAAATGAGCCTTAAAATCATTTATATTCATTTATGTTTATTGTTAAGCAATGGTAAGATATAAGAATACGGTATAACATTATAATCTTTACTATAAATTTTATTTTATTATTCATTTAGCATATTATTATTAGTCTCCTGTATTATCTTATAAAGAACAATATTCAAATTCATTTATTATATTTTACTGGAAACCATTTTTCATTTCCCTTGCTTAACTTTTTAGGTATACATGCATTAAGATCGAGGATAATTGGGGGAGTTTCTGCTAATATACAAGAGTTTCCCTACATCGTATCTTTTCGAAATATCGAGGATAATATTCACTTTTGCGCTGGTTCGATTATTAGTCATTGGAATGTTTTATCGGCAGCCCATTGTTTTATCGAATTCGAAAATGAATTTGATGACGTAAGGATGTACAGTGGAACATCAAGTTCGTTCGACGTTTCTGGACCAACTTTTACAATTCAACATATTGTATTCCACATTGACTATCAGAGACCAGAGAGGTTAGATTTTATAAATCTACACGATATAGCCATTATTAAGGTATGACAAATGCTTAGAAATTACTATTCAATAGAAAAATTATAGAGTGGTGACGTTGAATGTAGAAGCTAATGGTGTTTGAAAATCTTGTCAAGTTAGTAGTCACAGGGGAAAAAGAAACCGTTCGTCGTTCATTGGCATTGCACGAAATTTATATTAATTTCCATTATCGGCTTTTAGCATTGAGTTATACAATTATTATCAAGCACATAAGTTTAATGTATGTCGCGAAAAATTTATTGGTATATTAATTCAAACATTACATTCATTAGGTTTTATACATTCGAGTGTCGACAGCAATCCAATCTTTCCAGAATCATTTCTCTGAATATTCATTAGAAATGATAAAGTTTAACATTTTTTTCAGACTAATGAACATATTGAATTCAATCAATTTCAAAATAAAATAAATCTTCCGACGAGAGACCTTTTTCAAGGGAACATTGGTCGTGTTGCTGGATGGGGAGTGACATCTTATCCACACAACAGACTTTCTCTATTTCTTCGACAAGCAGCATTAGATATTATTGATCATGAACATTGTATGCCAATTGTTCCAATAATACTTGACGAAACTCAATTTTGTGGCATTCATACAGTGGCAATCACAACATGTGTAGTAAGTTTCAATTCATTGGAAGTACTCTTATTATGAAATTAGATTAAGATCTTCCTTAAGTACACACGCTTACAAAATATATATTAGAAATTATTATTGATTTTCCCGATGAAAATTGTTTGTTAGCTAATCTATTACAAGATTAATTTACTTACTTGATTAAACGATGATTCCCAACATATAAAAACTCTGTTTCAATTTGTAATTATTTGGGAGCATTAAAACCAAATTAGATTTTAACAATTGAAAATCATTGGGAGTGTCATGTCTTACTTTCATACAAATTTGAATTTGAAACATTTCTTTTCTCTTGACTATAATAATAGTGGATTTAAAATTTTCTCATTTTCCAGGGTGATAGCGGTGGACCATTGGTTAGCAACGATGAATTATTTGGCATCATTTCATTCAGTTTTCAATGTGCCGATGGTGTACCTGACGTACATACCAAGGTTTACTCATACCTAGATTTCATAAGAGGGCACTTGCTAGATTAATATTTATCCATTGCTTTTCTATATTATTATTCCGCTAAATTAAATATATTTATGAGAAACAAATTTATTGATACGAACGAGGACGTATTGTCGATAGGTTAATAGTTAATTCTAAGAGTGAAAATTACAATTACAATTACAATAGCGTGCGTGTGCGTGTGCGTGTGCGTGTGTTTAAGGCGATGAATACGTTACTTGTACACTTACCTTTGTAATGCATTAGAAATTAATTTTTATTTATATTGCAGGATTGCCTTAGATCTACATACTTTTTAACACATACTAATGTATTGCGAAATATACTAGTGAATGTTCACTTCCTAATGATAATAATAATTTATTGAAATAATGCTTATGTACACTTATATTTATATTGAATAAACTTGTCGCTGGTGTGGCCAACACAAACAAAATTGCAAATTATGTGACATTGAGTTCGTAATTTACTTTTACAAATGTATCCTGGGTAATTTGACTGTAGTCGAGAGGATAAGTACTACTGTTCTTGTCTTATTCTACATTACATTTGTCTCTAGGCCAACTTCGCATTATGTCATTTCGTATTTAGCAGTCATAATTGTCGGCTCGCCGTGTACATAATATAATGATAATTATAATCCAATGATAATCAATGATGAATTATGGTAAATTTCATATGTATAATATGCGAATTTTACTTTCACTTTAACGTTCTCTTTCCCTTGCAATATTGAAAATGAAAAAATTTGCTTAGCATTATTGTTCAATAAAATGGATTAGTGGTCACAGTTCATTAAATAATAGATAATTGAAATTCTTTTAAATAGACTTGGTTATTGGCTTTTTGGTGACGGACTGGGAAAATCGTAAGGATTTACATTGCTCATACATTCCAAAAGTCCAGTTATTATTGTTAATGTTAAACGCTTATGCTATTGAAATAAATTATTTGTTATTTTATTTTGATAATCAAGTTTTTAGTATTGTAGACGCGAGTTTAACATTCGTAGGAACTTTTCTTACGTATATTTACCGAAGCGAGAACGATTATTAAATCAGAAAATAATACATTTTTTAATTATATATACTCCTATGCGCGTATGCACGTACACGCATATGCTAACCGTTTCGGCAAGTGATATCTTTGATTATAAAATTTTTTAACAAATATATAATAATTCCAGAGTTGTTTCATTTTTATATAATAATACCTTTTCGAGTCTTTGAGCGACAATTTAATAGTTTTTATTTTTTCACATATTCTAGACAATATATTTTGATAGATATTTGCTTTAGATATGTGTGAAAAAATTCTCTATTTATTTAAATTTTTATATTTATGTTGTATTCACGTTGTATATCATCAAAGAAGTAGATTGTTGCAAATATCGGCTTAGTCATGATTAGTTAATCTTTGATGAAAGATTATAGAGTTTGAGTTTTGATAATTGAATGTTATTCTTTCATTGACTATATTTGCACGTCATTTGTAATAGAAGCTTATGTTCGAAAGCAGAATTAGTAATATTTATATTGATGTCATTTTTTTTTTGCAGGGAGTTTTTTCAATTATCTTTAATTTAGAACTGCTGAGTAATTAATAAGTCGTGCAAATGTTATTTTGAATCTATAACGCTGGTATTTTGTAGAGTTGAAAAAAAATTATGAATTAGTTGTATTAACAATCATTTAAGAATTTTGAATGGATTTTAATTTCATTAGCCACAATTATTTTAAAAAATTCGAGTTTTTAACAATAATTTATTTGCCTTATTAGAATAAATTTGAAATTTTTAAACATTATTTTATTCTATTCTGTAGATGATTTTTTAAATTATCGTATGTATATATATATACACACGCACGCGCGCGCACACACACACACACCACACACCACACACCACACACACACACACCACACACACACACACACACACACACACCATACACACACATATATATGCACGTATAAAGTATTAGATATTAAAAACACATCGTTAGTTCTCTGATTTTATGTAAAATTTACAGTATATATTTGTACTACGTTATTGTTGCATTCCTTATTGTGAAAATGATGTACTTTCATAATATAATTTATTTGTGTTTGCTTTTATGCACTGGTAAGTAACTAATATTTTTTATTTTATTGCCGTTGATTATATTTCAGTATTTTAATTTTTTACATCTGACGTCTTAATTATATTTCAAATAATTCTTATATTTTATGGTATTGTATATATTATATGAATTTACAAATTAAAGAACTGAAGTATCTTGTCCAACTTAATGTATTTGACACATTTAATTAATGAAAATTCTTAATAGTATGTTTCTTTTTTAGGAGGTTTATGCAAAAAGGAGAGAATTGTCGGAGGATTAGAAACTTCAATAACTTCTTATCCGCACGTTGTATCCATTCGTAACTATACTACTAATAGTTTTATTTGCGCAGGTTCTATTATTAGTCAATGGAATATTCTCACTGCAGCTCACTGTTTATTTTTATTGCAAAATTATAATGATGTAAGGATATATTCAGGTACATCTAGTTCAAGCAGTATTAATGCAATACATCATGGAGTTGATTACGTAGTCTTTCATCCTGATTTCGCATTCAACCCTGAACAGAATTTATTCCTACATAATATTGCAATTATTAAGGTATGTTTCAAAATTTTAGCTCTAAATATGATGTATTCAATTACAGTATTGACTGTATTATATTTAAGCATATATATTGAATTTATTGTTTGAAAAATAATACTTTATGTAAATCCAGTTGTGCGACAATAAAAGTGGACGTGAAAAATAAAGGATAATGAAATTTTCATCAAAATAAATATTTATCAATTTATTTGAATATAAAACTAAATTGTTATAATATAATGCATAGTTCGAGCCTCCCTATTAATTTATAAATGATTTTTTTATGTTATAGGTCAGATCACGTATATTTTTGTCCGTAACCCAAGCGATAATTGCTCTGCCAACCGCAGTACCTTTCAGCGAAACGGTCAGTTATATCGTTGGGTGGGGAGAGGTGGATACTGCAGATAGTGCAATTATTAAACCAATCTTGACTATGAGTACCGCAATTTTCATAAATAGCCAAGATTGTGGAACCTACTATCAGATTTTAGTTTATGATTCTCAAATTTGTACAGTAAGCCTGCCTGGAGTAGGTGTTTACGCTGTAAGTTTTGTCAAATAAGTAATATTGTTTGATTACTATGAATTACTATTAATATAATCAATGTCAGTTATATATATATATATATATAACGTACCAAAACTGTTTCTTTTCTAATTAAGAAAAAAATAATATTTAATAATTTTATTCTATCGTGTATGAAAATTATATATAAATATGAAAATTTATATACATATATGAATATCTGAGCGTCTTTTATTTTTATAGGGTGACGCAGGTGGCTCAGTTACTCGACGTGGAGAACTTCAGGGTATTATTTCATATACCTTCAATCGTCTTCCAAGAATGCCAACTATACATACCAAAGTGTTTTATTATTTGAATTTTATAAGACACCACATGATCGTATAATTTGAACAGAATTGTTTTTATATTTATTATTTTTATCGTTAGTATTGGTATTGTTAATATTTATATAAATAGTATTAGTTTATTATATTCAAATATTGAAATTTAAAAACATAGGAAGTTTTCAAGAAAATGGGTATTACACCGATACAGTGGATAAACAAAATACAATCAGTGAAAAATTGATAATCAATCATCATATTTCGGAGTATCCTGTCGAAAAAGATTTCAAAAATATATTCAAATTTTTTTATAGAGTAAGAACTGCAGAGTTCTATTTCTAATTGACATTTTAAATAATTTTCCATTAAAAATATATTTATAATTAGTTAATATTAAGATAATGTATGTACATTAAAAGCAGAATTTGTCATATTATTATGATTTTACTGTTAGACATATAAATAAACACATTAAACACATCCATTTATCCTTTGTATAGTAATATTATATAATATAGGATAATTGAGAATAGATAATTAAAGTAGACTCCATTAATATTTGAGCATAAAATTGAGTCTGCATAATTGTTAGTGAACATATAAAACTTGGAGTTGGATTGAACTCGTATAGTGAATTCAGAATTTAATATATAATAAGAAAATAGGAATTTGTAAGATTACTGATCGTCAGCTATATTTGGGGAACTATTATCAAAATTAAATTACATTTCCGATTCTTGAACATATTCATATTATATTTAAAATTGAAATTATCCACATACTCTTCTAATTCTCTAAATGTTTTGGCTCATTGCTTTTAATGTTTGTCACTAATCTGTTTCTTCATCATTATGAATATATATATATATATATAAATTATTTTAAAATATAATCTTTTAGATTATCATCCTGTTAGATTATCATAGAGAAGATTATAATATATAAGATCTTATATCTTCTTTATGATCATATAATTCCTTGATAATGTAATAATGTATGAAGTATAATCAAAGATTTTAATACTTTACTTCGATTTTATGCTTTATTCTCAAGTTCCATATTCTAAGTATGTAAGTACATTCTAATTGATACATGCCTCTTATATCATATAGCCTAAAGTAATTAGAATACACGAAAGTATTTAAGGTTTATATAAACACTGCAAAATACTCCATTTACTATCATTGAATAATAATTATTAAAATGCATTGCCACTTTTGCTTATATTTTTTAATTATATATTACGTATATTGTCTATCAACAAATTCTATTGTTAATTAATAAAGAATTACATATAATTTACATACATTGATTTGTCTACTTGATTTCAGTTGATTTGAAAAATTATGTTAAATATTAAATGTTAATGGATGACCGACATAGTTTTATTGATTTATGTTTAAAACGATGCATTTAATATTCTTAGGAATAATCACGTTATCTCTACGACTAGAAGATTTAATTGTAATGATATTAACATACATGATTTTTAGTACTCAATATACCGTCAATAATCATAAGTATTTTTAGATGCTTTTAATTACTTCTTAAACTTATAGATAAAATGTAAAAGATTCTGATTTAAAAGTGCAAATATTTTATATCAAATATATTCAATTCTCTGAGATTATAGTAATAATTAACTGCTTCTACAGAACAACCGTTGAGCCATTAACATCAAGAATTTGATATTCTTCCCTATGTAATGTAAACTTTAATCGATCAATTTTTATTGCTATTCTTAAGCTAAGGAATTGTCGCGCCACAGAAATAAATTACATAGAAGGTCAAAATAATTAAAACAATGCACTGATGATGTTAAAACTCTTGTTCTAAACAATTGTGTTTCTCTTAGACGACGAATATACTATTTTGTCGATATCAATATCGCTGTATTAGTAAATACATCCGATGCTTCCTATAAGATGGTAATGGCCTTTGGCGAATTTAAATAAATGTAGTATTACTTTATTTTCATATGATTTGATTCGTTTAAATGATGTGTGTATACGACGAATTTAATTGAGCGATTCCGAATTTTTCGATCATTAAAATCTTTTTTATGATGGAGGAATGTATTTTTTTGTTTTGCCTATTTAGTTGATAGATAATTTTCTGTAGGTAACTTTCTCTTATTACACCATTCAATTTTTATTAGTTTATGCGTTTAATATAATATTTGAAGGTACAAATCATGTACATTAAGTGCACGGTATAAACGATTAATGAGTTCAAATTAAAATATCTCTATACACACATATATATATATATATATATATATATAATGTGTTTATTGCAGCTTAATAATTTAATAATATTGTATTCTATTGAAAATATAGGAAAGTTCGAATGTCGCAAATAAGTTTGAAAATTCATAATTGTATATTATATAATATAAATATACATATAATAATTGTTATTTTTAATGCAACTATAAGGAATTTAATTATTAATATTGAAGATCAATTGTGATAATTATAGTCATTAAACTGATCTAATAACGAATCCTAGAGAGTCATGTTATTTATCAAAATCTATGTACTTAAAAATTTTCACTTACGCATGCATGCACGCACGTATATGAAACCCGTATAAGATTTATGTGTTGGATATATTATATTATATCTACATATGCTTATACATTAGCTTTGGTAAAAAGATAAAATAAAGCATTCCGAAAAGTGTAAGTTAATAATTCATAGTTTAAACTTAAATAGTTTAAATATTCATTTGATATTATATCATATTTTCATAATTAAGCTACTTACATTTTGTTGGGTGAACAGACCATTCAGAAATTTCATTTAATTATAATTTTGCTTTAACTGCTGAGTAATTAATATGTCAATTGCATATTATTCTTAAATATCGATATTAATGTAATTTTATTAACATAGGCAAATTTTTATTTCTTTAAAAAAAAAAAAAAAAAAAAGAAAAAATTCATTTCCATATAATACATAAATTAAATTTAGTAGTGTAAATATTTAGTTTTAATTATCGATCTGTACTACTACGAAAAAGAATAAAATATTGTTATCTGTAATTATATATTAAAATATATTATAAAATACATTTACTTATTAAAATAATTAACTATATAAAGTATTGAATTACGATATTAAATACCTATACCATCATGAACATTCCAATCGCAATTTGTTTGTGTCTGCTTTCAAGCACGGGCAAGTAACATTAATATTTTTAACGTGTTTGTTTATAAACATAATAAATTCACATAATTATGTTATAATATTTACAAAATTTTTTTATGTATATTATTTGAAATAATACAAGTACATTTCAATTACCTGCCGTGTCATATTTTATGTTTGAATTGAAATTGAAATCCGCATCTCGGTATATTAAATTGAAGGGAGTTTGAAAAAGGATATTAATTTTTTTTTTTCAGGCATTTTTAGCAAAAATGTGAGGATAATTGGGGGAGCTCCAGGCTTAATAAGTGATTTTCCGTTTATGGTGTCGATCCGAACCTTTCAGACTAACCAACTTATTTGCGGAGGTTCTATTATTAGTCGATGGAATATTCTCACTGCAGCGCATTGTTTATATGTGTTTGATAATGATTACACCGACGTAAGGGTTTATTCGGGAACAGCAAGTTCGATCGAAATGTATGGATTCAATTATCAGATAGATCATGTATATTTTCATCCACAATTCAATTTTTTAAATTTAAATGGTGTATACTTGCATGATATTTCAGTAGTTAAGGTACGTTTAAGCATATTTACGTTCAAGAAATTTTTCATAGAACTATTATTATTTCAGAATAAAGTAGATAATACAATAAAGTATTTAATTCTATATATATGTATGTCTGATATCAGGATAAAATAATATGGAAATATAATTAGTTTTCATTCAAATAAGTTGAATATAATAAGTAATTGTTATTTTTATTTACTTTATTATTAAAAATTCATTTTCCGAGAATTTCTGAATAAACTACATGAAGAACAACTGTCTTCTTTATATATTTTTTTAATTTTTCAAATCAACTACTTTCATAATTAGTAGAATATATATATATATATATATATATATATATATATATATATATGTATGTATTTTTTAATATTTATACAATTCACTTGTTGAATATATAATTTATTATTTATTATATATATATTTTATTAATTTTGTAGGTAACTTATATTATTATTATTTTAAAATAAATGCAACTTGATATTATTTCAATTGTTTCAATAGTTGTATTATGTCTTATTTATCACTTGTTATATTAAATATTACGTGGTTCTCATATAAAGTTGTATCGAATAAATAGCAATGGCGAGCTTCCAGATAAATTTAAATAAAAATTTTGTTTACTGCAGCTACGAACCGCGATACAATTTGACGCCTTTCAAGAGAAAATATCTTTACCATCTCGACCTTCCGATACTGAACATATGGTTTTAATTACTGGCTGGGGAATGTTCGAAAATCCGTCAAATTCTCTTGCTTCTCCAACTTTGAGAGTAGCGATGGGAATGATTTTAGATAATTATGATTGTTCATCGAGAGTTCAATACACAATTGCTGAACATCAGTTATGTACAATTGACACGTATGGAACGGGTGTTTGTATTGTAATTATTCTTTTTCTCTAATTATTAATTTTCTTCAATGGTTATTTAATATTATTATTTCAAATTACACTTAATTTATCATATATAATTTATATAATATGCAATATGAATATAAGTTTTATGCACAATTTAAACACAAACTATAAAACAATAATTTCTAATTAAAATTATGAAATTTACGTGGAAATCGTTGCAAGTTTTTTTGTATAAATTATGATTTGAAAATAACATTTTTTCGATTTTTTAGAATGACGGTGGTGGATCAATTGTTAGTAATGGAGTAATTTATGGTATTATTTCATATTCTCTTAATAACGTTGGAGGATTTCCAGATGTGCATACCAAAGTTTATTATTATTTGGATTTCATAAGAAATCATATGACAGAATAATTTATGTAGACGATCATTTTATATAAAATAAATATAAATTTTTTAAATTTGTTTTTTTTATCTGATTACTACTACGAACAGTATAATAATTATTTGTATCTAATATGCATAAGTGATGTATATTCATATAATTCAAACAAAAATAAAAGTTTTTTCTACCATAAACTGAAAAATTAATTAAGAGTTTGAATTGTAAATATTGGATTGTAAAGATTTAATCTCTAAATATAAGAGAAACTTTTATATACAATTATTTATAATGTCAATTATATAACATAATATTATTATAACATTTTATTATATAATGTTATATTTTTAAAATTATATTATATATATAAATATATATATATATATATATATATATATATATATATATATTTCGTATCAATCATTACGAAATAAATGAAAAGCAACGTCGAATTAATAAAGCATAAACTATAAACGTCTTATTTCGCTAATTTTGGTTTTGAAATAAAATATCTATTATTATTAGTTATTTTTATGAAAATATAAGAAATTTAAATTTTCATATTTAAGAGAAATTGTCATAATTAGATAATTACAGTTACGAACATATCCATTAATTCTAGAGAAAGTCATATTAATTATCAAAAGCTATGTATTGAAAAGTTTTCACTCACGCATGCACGCACGCACATATGTTTTACGCGTACAAAGTTATGTATTTGCTTACGTACCTGTGCATTTGCTTTAACGGTCATCAATATATTAAAGGATTAAATTTTCGTTTTTTATTACTTGAGTTATAATATCATTGTATATTTTATTCAAATATACTTATACAATATTGTTTCTTTTTATAACTATATAAAAATTGTATATTTAGGAAAATTTCAACTACTGATTATGCATGTGCAAACAGAATAATAATAATTTCAATGTATTTAAATTTATTGTTATTTTGTATACTTATATATTAATAACTACTTAGTAATTAATTAATCATATTATTCTTCAATGTGCTTTTTATATTATATATAGATTCGTAAATATTAACAACTGATATTGACAATAATTTTTTAAATTTTATATTAATTTTATTTGTATTAAAATAAGTAAATTTTCTTTTTTATTTGAAATATATATATATATATATATATATATAATTTATTATTTATTATATATATATTTTATTAATTTTGTAGGTAGCTTATATTATTATTATTTTAAAATAAATGCAACTTGATATTATTTGAATTGTTTCAATACTTATATTATGTCTTATTTATCACTTGTTATATTAAATATTACTTGGTTCTCATATAAAGTTGTATCGAATAAATAGCAATGGGAGCGAGCTTCTAGATATTCAAATTATAAATCTTAATCAAAATTTTATTTCCTACTCATTAAATCAAAAGATTAATATTACCTTTCGAATAAATATACAATTTGATTTTTTTCAAGAGAACATTATTTTACCTATCCTCGACCTCCTTCTACCGATGATATTTTTTGTAATTGCTGGATGGAGAATGTCAGATATTTCTTCTGGCCAAGCGTCTTCTCCAGTTTAAAAAAAGTTTCCTATAACTGTTTTTTTTAAATAGTTATGATTGTTCAAGAAAAGTCTCAGTTGCAATTGTTAAATCTCAAATATGTACATTTGAGACATATGGAATTGATATTTGCATTGTAAGTTTCTGAAATGATCTAAAATATCATTTCAATATTTTAGATAATATCAATAAAGATTTTTTTCTTATTGTTATTTTATTTAACATAAGTCATTCTTCAATATCGTAAATGAATTTGATTTAATGATAAATATAAAATAAAGATTTCTAATGAAAATTTAAAAATTCATGTAATAATAATTGAAATATTTGTGAACATGTTATTAAAGTAAAATAAATTATTTTAAATTCTTTAGGTTGATGATGGTGGCTCAGTTGTTAGTAATGGAGAACTTTACGGTATTATTTCATATTTCATGGATTGTGTACTTGGCTTTAATTACTGTAGAACAATTTATTTAAAATTAATACTGACCTTATAATTATTAATATTATTATTGCTGTCGTTGCTTTCTTCTTATTATTGTTTATATTTTGTATAAATAATAATGTATGAATGCCTATGACTTGTAAGAATAAGAGATATAATTATTATATCTTTGAAAATAATAAATTTCTTATTATATAAATTTAAAGTTTTGTTTAATCTAATGAGATTAGAATTAATGAGATGAGTAGAATAAACTTTTTTTTTTTTAACTATTATTAGTAATGAACTGTTTATCACTCTGTGTATGTATATGAGAGATTTTATATTGAATCATTTAAAATTATTGTTTTATTTTAATGTTAAAAAATAATGAATATTCTAAACATTTTAGTGTTTTCCTAAAAAATGGTGTATAAAGCGATTAATAAATCACAACTTTTCCATTACTGGGCAAAAGGAAGTATTGACATTTATTGAAATTTTCTTAAGTCCATCAGATTTACGGTTAACTTAAATATTTGCCACTTATAGTTCAACTGAAATCTTAAGTTTCAGCATTTTGGTTCAGGCTTAGGAATAAATTTCATGATGATGAAAGAAATTTTATTGATTGTACATTTGTGAATAGTCATTCTTATAGTTGATTAGAAAAATTGAAATTTCTTTATTTTTCATCTTCTTTTTCCTCCACGGAAAATTCAGTTATATTAGTTACATTATATTAGTTATCATATTTATTTTATTTTTTAATAACCATATCAGATTAAACAGCAGTTCTAAAATTCTTAAATATTCGTAAATATTTAATATTGTTTTATATGCACGCTAGGTACGCGTAATAAAGTTATATTTATTTAAAAATCATTACATATGTTATATACATGTTGTATTCGATTAAATGATTATATTATTAGAGGTTTAGAGCTGAGACTCAGATATGAATACATATATATCTTACATAGTATAGGTTATATAATATTGTTTTATATAAACTATCATTCTCCTCAGCTTTTTCTGCTTTAATAAAACATCATACCTTCCAAATTTTGATAATTGACTGTTTGTCGACTTAGATTTGCATATTCATTTATTCTCATAGCATAAGCTTAAAAGTATAATAAGTAATATTTACATTGATGATATCATATTATGCCAATAGATGTTTAATTAAATTTACATTGTAACTGCTGAGTAATTAATTTGTTATACGAATATTATACTTTGTATTTTATATAGCTTTATGAATATTAAAAATATAATATTGATAATAATTTTCTATTTTGTATACGATTTCATTTTATTCTTTATAATAAAATTATAAAATGTAAATTTTTATATGTCTTCATTTACCTTAAAAGATTAAATTTAAATTATTTAACATAATTTCTATTTTATCATATAATGCATATTATAGCTTTTCGTTGTTTCTTGAACCGTCTAAATTTGGATTATCATTTTTTCCTAAGTTTTAGAAAAAGGTAAAAAAAGAGAAGAAAGAAAGTGAGGAAGATATACACACATACACACATACACACACACACACACATACACACACACATATATATATATATATATATATATATATATCTATAGAGAGAGAGGGAGAGAGAGAGAGAGATAACATATATATATTTATTTATATAACATATATATATTTAACATATATATATTATATATAAATATATATCTCATAAATAAATAAATAAATATATATATATATATATATATATATATACATATATAATTTATTGTATTGAGCTACTATATAAAGCATTTGGTTTTCAAACAAAATTATTCGTTATTAGATTACTAGTAATATTTATAGTATTTTATTTCAATTTTTATCGATATCATATTTATAATTATTAGACTATGAGCTTTCGCATCGTAATATGTTTGTGTCTCTATTTAAGCACGGGCAAGTTATGCTATAATTTTTAAATAATTTGCTTAAAAATATATTAAAATTTTTACAAATTTTTGCAAGTGATTTTATTTTTAATACAATTACATTATAATCACGTTTGTTACATAAATTATTATTAAAATATTAAAATTTATCCTTTGAAGCGAATTTTAATAGAATATATTTCGTTTTCTAGGTATTTTGGGGAAAAAAGCAAGGATTATTGGTGGAACGCCAGATATAATAAATAACTTTCCTTATTTGGTATCAATTAGAAATGTTACAACTAATCATCTCATTTGCGGCGGTAGTATTATTAGTCACTGGAACATTCTCACTGCAGCGCATTGTTTATACATGTCACGAAATTCATTAAATGAACTGAGAATTTTCTCGGGTACACGTAGTTCAACTTATCTCTACGGCGATAATTATGCAATTGACTACATACACATTCATCCCGAATATAATTTCTTTTATCCGGAGAAGTTACTGGTTAATGATATTGCAATTATTAAGGTACGTTTTTAACTATTCGTGTATGAAAACTTACTTGACATTTATTTGTTTATTGTTAAAAATTTGTTAAAAAACTAAAAACTTGACATATTACGGATTATAGCTAATTATATTGCTATATAATTCATATATTTTATTATTAATATTTTTTTTATACACAAATTTCATTTCTTATAGCTTGATAGGCCGATGAATTTCAATGAAGTACAGTCAAAAATTCCTTTATCATTCGAACCAATTAATAGTGGAGATGTGGTTGTACTGGCTGGTTGGGGAGGCAGACAACCCGGACGTTTTTTCATTCCATCATTAATTTTGAATATGTGTACAGCATTAGTTTTAAACAGTATCGATTGTTCACTAGAATTTCAAATTACAACACTGGAAACTCAGTTCTGTACAACAAATCCAAGGGGCATTGGCATTTGGGGGGTAACTTTATTAAAATTATCCATATAGATTTATTATTATTAATTAATATAAAATACTTGGTATCAGTTATTTATCATTATAATAAATTTATATTATTATATTATATTTATAAATTTATAATTATTATAAATTTATCATTCACATTATTTAATATATATTATATTTTTAATATAGCATTTTTCAAAAATTTTATAAGTCCTCATATAATATTCATTTCTAATTTCAATAAATAGTAGAACATAATTTTTCAGAACATAAAAAATAAATTTTTATTAATTCTTAAATTCTTATCACACATAAATACTATTATATTATATGAGGTAAAAAAAAAAACAGTTATATTTGAATAAGATTCTATATAATAAATATTGTAGTTAACAATTATATATATATCTATATATATACAAATGTCATATTTTTTTATTTTATAGGGTGACGGTGGTGGCCCAGTTATTAAAAATTATAAACTTTATGGAATAATTTCATATTCTTTCAATTCTGCTATTGGCTTACCAGATGTACATACACAAGTGTATCCTTATTTGGATTTCATAACACAAAATATAATTCAATAATTCATATTCAATAATGAATATAGAATTTATATTTTAATATATGTTTACATAAATATGAAATAAAATCAATTATAAAGAATAAAATATTTATATTTACCATGATAAGGGCTTCATCATATGTAATAATAATGACTAATAAATATAATTTTTGAAATATAAATAGATTCTCTTTAATTCGATAAATCATGATAGGCATTTGATATACAATTCAATATTTGAACTAGTGAAAATGTATTTTACTCTTACACTCGAATCATATAGGAGAGAATAGAGGATATATATATATATATATATATATATATATAGAGAGAGAGAGAGAGAGAGAGAGAGAGACCAAGTGAATACCGTACATTGCAAATGTTCCGTTGCATATAATAGCGGTCACTTCAATACACGAGTCTTCACTGTGCTCCTCCTAATTTCTTTGCGATAACGTTACGCTGAGATTCGATCCTGGACCAATGAAATTCTAAAATGTCTGTTATTCTTTCTTATTCTTCTCTTCCATGGTCCAACAAAATCAATACGTAATGGAGGTTTTATTCATGAACAGTCGCGCTTCATCGTCATGTAAAGGACGAAAAGTAAAAATAAAAGGTGCCATAAGCAATTGCAAATTATCTAATAACATGCAATTTATAGGGGGAAGACTTCAGATGAATTTGATTAATAAAATAATACATTCATATTCCAACAGTAGCCGAACACTGATTTTATACTACATAAATTATGATGATTATTGCAGCTCGATTCAATGATTCAATTCACTCAGTATCAAAATAAAATTCCGCTGCCAACCCGACGTCCTCGTTCGGAAAATTTGGCTGTAATCGCAGGTTGGGGACTCACGGAGAATTCGTACGGATATCTAACTTCTCCACATTTGAAAAAAGGACCTGCGATTATTTTAAACAGTACCGATTGTGCACAGCACGTCCCACTCGATGTACTCAATACTCAATTTTGCACATTCTATTCAATTGGCAAAGGTATTTGCGCTGTGAGTATTTTCATCTTATTGCTATGAGTTATCATAAATTTTTATTAATTAGAATGAATGCACATTGACACTTTTTTTTTTTGTTTTTTTTTGTTTTTTTTTTTTTTTTGATTTTTATAATCAATAACATTTTAATTCATTTATTGACTAATAAGAATTAAAATTGTGAAAATTAAATGCTCTTATTGTGGTACTATTGTTGGTAAATTACAGAGCAGAAATTAATTTTTTTTTTTTTTTTTTTTTTTTTTTAATTTATAGGGTGACGGCGGTGGCTCGGTTGTCAGCAATGGAGAACTTTATGGTGTTATATCATTTTCCTATGGATGCGCGCAAGGCACACCAGATGTACATACTGCAGTATATTATTATTTGGATTTCATAAGAACACATATGATCGAATAAATTATACAAATGATATTAATATAGAATCAATAGATTAATATTTTGAATATATTAATATTGCCGTTATCATGTTGTAATATGTATTTTGTACGCGTACTTTATGTATGCATAAAATATGATTTGTAAGAAAGAAAAGATATGATTATTACCCATTTGAAAGTACAAATTTTCTTTATTTAAAGCAATCATTAATAGCTAAGTACTGCATACTGCTCGGTAATCTCTCTTGATTTATACGAGAAATGTTTACATTCAATAAAAATAAACGCACGACACTATTATTATTGTTGTTATTATTATTATTATTATTATTATTATTATTATTACATATGTAAAAAAAAAAAAAAAAAAAAAAAAATAGCTCAATTTCTAGTAGAAAACATTCAATTCTTTGCAATTATTACGGGTTATTTTTCATGGTGATACGTTTCAGGTTTACCGGACGTGCATACAACTGTTTATAATTATTTAGATGTTATAAGGCACCTTATGCTCGAATAATGCAAACAAGGTTCACGAACGTATATTTAGTTTTTTAAATACCCAATGAATATCATTCGCATATATTATTGAAAATAATACGTTGCTCTCGTGTGATATTTGTATAAAATGTCTGATAATGATTATCGAACGCGTATATCTGATGTGTGTTAGGTTCGGTTTGCTGTTATCATTGATAATAAAACACATTTGTTGATCGTTTCTAGCCATTAAATGTTAAAATCAATTTAAAATAATATTATTTTACATTATCCCATTCATTATTGTGAGACAGATAGAATGTAATAATCAACACATTACACTATCTCACTGAATTTATATTAGTTTTGAGCGATATGATTGATTATGATTCGCCTGTAATGCCAATAATATAAATTATCATCGACTCCAAAAATAAACTTGCTTTTTAGTCCGCAATTAGATTATGAAATTCTTAATAATAATGTAAAAGTATTTCAAGAATAAATATTAAAATCATGAATATTTGATAGGGTTTTTGAAAATTTAGTTCACCTATATAAAGAAATCAAATTGTATTTTCATTGACGTTTTATGAGACATAAAATGGAGTTCCAGATTTTTTGTATTTATTTTTATTTATTATTAAATATTGGTAAGCCTATATAATATATAATTTATAAATACAAGGGTGAACAATAATAGTCTTTAAAAATATATTTATTTATTATTGTTCAATCGTATATTCAATTACTTTACAATGAGTTTATTTTATAATAAGAAACTTTGTTGATACTTATTTATCAGATTGTCCTGTGAACGATTTTTCATTTCCTTTGCGTAACTTTTTAGGTATACATGCATTAAGATCGAGGATAATTGGGGGAGTTTCTGCTAATATACAAGAGTTTCCCTACATCGTATCTTTTCGAAATATCGAGGATAATATTCACTTTTGCGCTGGTTCGATTATTAGTCATTGGAATGTTTTATCGGCAGCCCATTGTTTTATCGAATTCGAAAATGAATTTGATGACGTAAGGATGTACAGTGGAACATCAAGTTCGTTCGACGTTTCTGGACCAACTTTTACAATTCAACATATTGTATTCCACATTGACTATCAGAGACCAGAGAGGTTAGATTTTATAAATCTACACGATATAGCCATTATTAAGGTATGACAAATGCTTAGAAATTACTATTCAATAGAAAAATTATAGAGTGGTGACGTTGAATGTAGAAGCTAATGGTGTTTGAAAATCTTGTCAAGTTAGTAGTCACAGGGGAAAAAGAAACCGTTCGTCGTTCATTGGCATTGCACGAAATTTATATTAATTTCCATTATCGGCTTTTAGCATTGAGTTATACAATTATTATCAAGCACATAAGTTTAATGTATGTCGCGAAAAATTTATTGGTATATTAATTCAAACATTACATTCATTAGGTTTTATACATTCGAGTGTCGACAGCAATCCAATCTTTCCAGAATCATTTCTCTGAATATTCATTAGAAATGATAAAGTTTAACATTTTTTTCAGACTAATGAACATATTGAATTCAATCAATTTCAAAATAAAATAAATCTTCCGACGAGAGACATTTTTGAAGGTAACATTGGTCGTATTGTTGGATGGGGAGTGACCACTTACCCACATGGCGGACTTTCTCCATTTCTTCGACAAGCATCAGTAGATATTGTTGATCATATACTTTGTACACAAATTGTTCCAATGGTAATCAACGAAACTCAATTTTGTGCCATTCCGAAAATGGCTGTTGCAACCGGATCAGTAAGTTCATTAGAAGTATTCCTATTATAAAATTACATCTTCGTTAAGTACATACGCTTACAAAATATATATTAGAAATTATTATTGATTTTCCCGATGAAAATTGTTTGTTAGCTAATCTATTACAAGATTAATTTACTTACTTGATTAAACGATGATTCCCAACATATAAAAACTCTGTTTCAATTTGTAATTATTTGGGAGCATTAAAACCAAATTAGATTTTAACAATTGAAAATCATTGGGAGTGTCATGTCTTACTTTCATACAAATTTGAATTTGAAACATTTCTTTTCTCTTGACTATAATAATAGTGGATTTAAAATTTTCTCATTTTCCAGGGTGATAGCGGTGGACCATTGGTTAGCAACGATGAATTATTTGGCATCATTTCATTCAGTTTTCAATGTGCCGATGGTGTACCTGACGTACATACCAAGGTTTACTCATACCTAGATTTCATAAGAGGGCACTTGCTAGATTAATATTTATCCATTGCTTTTCTATATTATTATTCCGCTAAATTAAATATATTTATGAGAAACAAATTTATTGATACGAACGAGGACGTATTGTCGATAGGTTAATAGTTAATTCTAAGAGTGAAAATTACAATTACAATTACAATAGCGTGCGTGTGCGTGTGCGTGTGCGTGTGCGTGTGTTTAAGGCGATGAATACGTTACTTGTACACTTACCTTTGTAATGCATTAGAAATTAATTTTTATTTATATTGCAGGATTGCCTTAGATCTACATACTTTTTAACACATACTAATGTATTGCGAAATATACTAGTGAATGTTCACTTCCTAATGATAATAATAATTTATTGAAATAATGCTTATGTACACTTATATTTATATTGAATAAACTTGTCGCTGGTGTGGCCAACACAAACAAAATTGCAAATTATGTGACATTGAGTTCGTAATTTACTTTTACAAATGTATCCTGGGTAATTTGACTGTAGTCGAGAGGATAAGTACTACTGTTCTTGTCTTATTCTACATTACATTTGTCTCTAGGCCAACTTCGCATTATGTCATTTCGTATTTAGCAGTCATAATTGTCGGCTCGCCGTGTACATAATATAATGATAATTATAATCCAATGATAATCAATGATGAATTATGGTAAATTTCATTATAGTAAAGTGACTTATAGTAGCGACTTTAATAATAATAATTTCTTTTCCTTGCGAATTTTACTTTCACTTTAACGTTCTCTTTCCCTTGCAATATTGAAAATGAAAAAATTTGCTTAGCATTATTGTTCAATAAAATGGATTAGTGGTCACAGTTCATTAAATAATAGATAATTGAAATTCTTTTAAATAGACTTGGTTATTGGCTTTTTGGTGACGGACTGGGAAAATCGTAAGGATTTACATTGCTCATACATTCCAAAAGTCCAGTTATTATTGTTAATGTTAAACGCTTATGCTATTGAAATAAATTATTTGTTATTTTATTTTGATAATCAAGTTTTTAGTATTGTAGACGCGAGTTTAACATTCGTAGGAACTTTTCTTACGTATATTTACCGAAGCGAGAACGATTATTAAATCAGAAAATAATACATTTTTTAATTATATATACTCCTATGCGCGTATGCACGTACACGCATATGCTAACCGTTTCGGCAAGTGATATCTTTGATTATAAAATTTTTTAACAAATATATAATAATTCCAGAGTTGTTTCATTTTTATATAATAATACCTTTTCGAGTCTTTGAGCGACAATTTAATAGTTTTTATTTTTTCACATATTCTAGACAATATATTTTGATAGATATTTGCTTTAGATATGTGTGAAAAAATTCTCTATTTATTTAAATTTTTATATTTATGTTGTATTCACGTTGTATATCATGAAAGAAGTAGATTGTTTCAAGTATTATTATAATATTATTTAACCGCGTTGACTAACATAGTTTGTATCAAATTTTGTATATGAAGATTTTTATCGTTGGATTTAATGGAGTTTACAAAAGATTATATATTCTGTACTTTGAGAATTGAATCTTAATCATTTTTCGACTATATTTGCACCTTCGTTTATAATTATAGCATTTACTGTTAAGTATTATTTGTAATTGTTATATTGAAAACAATAGATTTTGTAGGAATTAATTAACTACTACTCAGTAATTTATAATCTATTTCATTACAAGTTATTCAAATTTTATTATTCATTATATATATATTTAAGTATATATATATATATGCATATGCATATACCTACACACACACGCACGCACACATACATTTATATATACACATATGAGTCTGTACACCAATATATACACATGCACACATTCTCTCACACACACATGCTAAGAGTTAGAGAGTGTTGTGTGTGTCCATAGACATTTTTCTTACATTGTAGTCCCTATATAAAGTTTTAGATTTCGCACTCATAATATTAATTACTTTCAAAGGCATCATGGACTTTCGTATCGTAATATGTTTGTGTCTCGCTTTATTAACAGGCAGGTTTAATTAAATTTTTGATGTTAAAAATTTATAACTATTGTTTGTTCATTAATCTTTTATGAATGAATTCAGATGCATATTATAAGGAACAATATAATAACTCAAATAAATCACGTTATTTATAATAATTTAATTGTGATATTAATTGTGATAATTGATATGAAATTCTGATTTGGACCGTCATAAACTTTAGGTATATTACTTTATAACAAATATAAATAATATAATTTTTTTAATTTTAGGAATCTCTGCAAAAAAATCAAGAATTTTTGGGGGATCTAATGCTTTAATAAGTGATTTTCCACATTTGGTGAATATTCGTATTTCTAGCGGTAATGAACTTCTCTGCGGAGGTTCTATTATTAGCCGTTGGAATGTTCTCACTGCAGCTCATTGTTTAAGTATTTCATTACATGTTTTGCCGAGTTTAAGAGTCTATACGGGAACGACAAGCTCAGTTGATGTTTCCGGAAATTGGTTTCGTATAGAACATGTATATTTCCATCCCGAATTTAGGCTTCTCGATGATAATGGCATATACTCACATGATATTGCAGTAATTAAGGTACGTTTAAAAACATCATTGTAAGACTACGTTGGAGAAGGAAAAGCTTCTGTTAAATTTTAATTATTTATTCATCTTTATTCCGTAAATATGATAATAAAGTTTATGTGCAAACAATTTTTCTTCTAATAAACTCAATGATATAAGAACTGTTACAGAATATAATCCTACGTAACTTTAATATTCAAAAATTAAATTGAAATCGTTACTTCAATTTTGTATTCTTAATTTTTCATATTAACACGTATTCTTATTAATTACCAATGCTTTAATTAATTTATATAAAAATCATATTTTAATGGTTATACGTTTTAAGTTCAAAGTTAGTGTTCGGATTACTCATTGTTCAATTTAATGTATTGTAGTTTTATCATTTCCACATAAATAATAAATTTTATAAATGTTTTTCGTCATATATATATAATTTGATTAATTTGTATTCAATACTTATACAAGTGATTAAATACAAATAATAAATTAAGCGGTTCATTGTATAGTTATATCTATATGTAGAAATAAATGTAATGAATCTTTTTAAAATTGCAATTGTACTTAATTCATGAGTTTCTCATCGACTGAAACTTTCATTATAATGTAAAATCAGTACCAAGTTCTGTCAATGAAGATAAAATGCTTGAGCATGAAAAACATAACTAATTTGAAACATAATTGGTAAAAATGTAAAAGAATTCTGCAATTTGCTGCGCATAACTCTCATATCGATCATGATTTATTCATTTTCACATATTGCACGCGAATCTGAATTTACCATAAATTAACTGCGTTAGAATCTCATTTTATCTATGTATATATATATATATATATATATATATATGCTGTTAAGAGAACAAAAAGAAGTTGAATAATATTATGTACAAATTCCACATCAAGATTTCGATTATGATTAAATATTATATTACCACTTAATAAAGGAACGATATTTTATTTGAGTAAATAATACCGCTCTATTGTATAGTATCATAAGGTTTACTTCATTACGATTATTCTTGAATCATCCCTAACTCTGCAATAACTGTAACAACTGACGATTGTACGTACAGTTGCAAATTATCTAATAACATGCAATTTATAGGGGGAAGACTTCAGATGAATTTGATTAATAAAATAATACATTCATATTCCAACAGTAGCCGAACACTGATTTTATACTACATAAATTATGATGATTATTGCAGCTCGATTCAATGATTCAATTCACTCAGTATCAAAATAAAATTCCGCTGCCAACCCGACGTCCTCGTTCGGAAAATTTGGCTGTAATCGCAGGTTGGGGACTCACGGAGAATTCGTACGGATATCTAACTTCTCCACATTTGAAAAAAGGACCTGCGATTATTTTAAACAGTACCGATTGTGCACAGCACGTCCCACTCGATGTACTCAATACTCAATTTTGCACATTCTATTCAATTGGCAAAGGTATTTGCGCTGTGAGTATTTTCATCTTATTGCTATGAGTTATCATAAATTTTTATTAATTAGAATGAATGCACATTGACACTTTTTTTTTTTGTTTTTTTTTGTTTTTTTTTTTATTATGATTTTTATAATCAATAACATTTTAATTCATTTATTGACTAATAAGAATTAAAATTGTGAAAATTAAATGCTCTTATTGTGGTACTATTGTTGGTAAATTACAGAGCAGAAATTAATTTTTTTTTTTTTTTTTTTTTTTTTTTAATTTATAGGGTGACGGCGGTGGCTCGGTTGTCAGCAATGGAGAACTTTATGGTGTTATATCATTTTCCTATGGATGCGCGCAAGGCACACCAGATGTACATACTGCAGTATATTATTATTTGGATTTCATAAGAACACATATGATCGAATAAATTATACAAATGATATTAATATAGAATCAATAGATTAATATTTTGAATATATTAATATTGCCGTTATCATGTTGTAATATGTATTTTGTACGCGTACTTTATGTATGCATAAAATATGATTTGTAAGAAAGAAAAGATATGATTATTACCCATTTGAAAGTACAAATTTTCTTTATTTAAAGCAATCATTAATAGCTAAGTACTGCATACTGCTCGGTAATCTCTCTAAAAAAAAAAAAAAAAAAAAAAATAGCTCAATTTCTAGTAGAAAACATTCAATTCTTTGCAATTATTACGGGTTATTTTTCATGGTGATACGTTTCAGGTTTACCGGACGTGCATACAACTGTTTATAATTATTTAGATGTTATAAGGCACCTTATGCTCGAATAATGCAAACAAGGTTCACGAACGTATATTTAGTTTTTTAAATACCCAATGAATATCATTCGCATATATTATTGAAAATAATACGTTGCTCTCGTGTGATATTTGTATAAAATGTCTGATAATGATTATCGAACGCGTATATCTGATGTGTGTTAGGTTCGGTTTGCTGTTATCATTGATAATAAAACACATTTGTTGATCGTTTCTAGCCATTAAATGTTAAAATCAATTTAAAATAATATTATTTTACATTATCCCATTCATTATTGTGAGACAGATAGAATGTAATAATCAACACATTACACTATCTCACTGAATTTATATTAGTTTTGAGCGATATGATTGATTATGATTCGCCTGTAATGCCAATAATATAAATTATCATCGACTCCAAAAATAAACTTGCTTTTTAGTCCGCAATTAGATTATGAAATTCTTAATAATAATGTAAAAGTATTTCAAGAATAAATATTAAAATCATGAATATTTGATAGGGTTTTTGAAAATTTAGTTCACCTATATAAAGAAATCAAATTGTATTTTCATTGACGTTTTATGAGACATAAAATGGAGTTCCAGATTTTTTGTATTTATTTTTATTTATTATTAAATATTGGTAAGCCTATATAATATATAATTTATAAATACAAGGGTGAACAATAATAGTCTTTAAAAATATATTTATTTATTATTGTTCAATCGTATATTCAATTACTTTACAATGAGTTTATTTTATAATAAGAAACTTTGTTGATACTTATTTATCAGATTGTCCTGTGAACGATTTTTCATTTCCTTTGCGTAACTTTTTAGGTATACATGCATTAAGATCGAGGATAATTGGGGGAGTTTCTGCTAATATACAAGAGTTTCCCTACATCGTATCTTTTCGAAATATCGAGGATAATATTCACTTTTGCGCTGGTTCGATTATTAGTCATTGGAATGTTTTATCGGCAGCCCATTGTTTTATCATTTTCGAAAATGAATTTGATGACTTACGGATGTATAGTGGAACACCCAGTTCGTCAGATACGTCTGGACCAAGTTATACTATTGGATATATTGTCTTCAATACTGAGGAAGAAATAACGGAGCAACTTGCAGATACCCACGATATAGCCCTTATTAAGGTATAACAAATGTTTAGAAATTACTATTCAATGGTAAAATTATAGAGTGATGACATTGAACGTGGAAGCTAATGATTTGAAATTTGAAAATGTTGTTAATTTTGTTAAAATTGCTTTTAGCATTGGGTTATATAATTGTAGTTAAGCCCATAAGCTAAGTTTTCAATCTTTGCAAAATCATTTCTCTGAATATTCATTAGAAATGATAAAGTTTAATATTTTTTTCAGACTAATGAACATATTGAATTCAATCAATTTCAAAATAAAATAAATCTTCCGACGAGAGACCTTTTTCAAGGGAACATTGGTCGTGTTGCTGGATGGGGAGTGACATCTTATCCACATGGCGAAGTTTCTCTATTTCTTCGTCAAGCAGCAGTAAATATTTATGATCATGAATCTTGTTTGCGATTAATTCCAATGCATATGTTGGATTCTCAATTATGTATATTCAATGTAAAGGGCGTCGGAACATGTTCAGTAAGTTTTTATTCATTAATACCTTTATTAATTATTATTTTGTCTTATTAACAATTTATTAATACTATTGTAATGAATTAAATACTAAATTAGTATTCATTTTATTGTTTACATCGATTTTTTTTTTAAAATTATAGTGTTATAAAATGCCTATTTATTTTATAAGTAAATTATTCTTCACTAATGGCATATTACAAATTTCTTTAACAAATTTTCTAGTTCATTTTTAATTATAACCAAGTTTTTAGTGAGGAATATTTATTCTTTTTTTTTACAAAATTATTTAATACTTTATTTTAATACTTCACGGATTGAAAGCACATCGAAATTTATCTTAACCTTATTATTTTATACGTTTATTTATGTCTTTAAGTATTGAATAGCTGTGATATAATTAGATAAATATTATCTCAAATATTCTTATCTTTTTTTTTAAGTCTTGTCTTATAATAGCGAGGCATTGTGGTAATTAAAATATTAATTATTTCTGTTAGGTTTGTAATCTTTTATTAGTATTATTACAAAATCGGAATTATTAAAATTATGTATGTAATTTAGCGGAATATGTATGCTGAGTAATAATTTTTAAGCGATATTTATATAAATTTATATAATTTCTCAAATATTTTAATTTTTATAGATACCTATAGTATTTCCAAAAAATTCTAAAGCTTTATAGATTAACAATTCGTAAATTATATTAGAATTTATTATATTATATTTTTGTATTTACAATGCAAATTTACAGATAACCATATTTTATTTTCTTTATTTAATTGGCTTTGCACCTGTTATACTTTTACTGGTGGTGAAAGTATATAATGTGCTTAATTTTCTTATCGTGGTGCTTTTTTTTAATTACTTAATACTGTAATATATATATATATATATATATATATATATATACATTTCTATTTGATTTGATAAAAATGATAATTAAAAAAATTCTTATATTATTGTTTTTAATAATATAATTAACTCGATTATACATCATTATATTATACGAATATACATCAATTCATTATACTTTAACTAATAATAATTCAATCAATTTTAATCTTCATTTTTCTGTGTAGATATTCAATTATCAGATTGCAATTATCCTTCATAAAAATTGTTTGCGTGTATGTAAGTTTAGCTATTGTTTTAAAACATAAAATGTAAGAAACATTTTTTATAAAAATGGAAACTAAAGAGCGTCATAAAATAAACTCTTTTCAAATTTGTATGTATGATTATTATCTATTTTAATTGTTATATATCTTCAATACAATTATATGTATAATGAATTTTTGCTATTTTTAAATTTATATATTTCCACGGAATGTTCCAACTTTTAATATAATTGAGGATTTACAAGTAATAATAAGTTGAATGGTTTTGATAATTTAATTTAAGCTAAATTTGATATATTACTATCCAATAATAGTACTCATATTACTAAGTATTTCTATTAAAAATACTTTTTTAAAAATATTTTGATAGATTTTGTTACATGTCAATTATTTTAATTTTTGGTAGACAGTATTCATTGTGTTATTATCTTTAAAAAATGTTCTTTCTCTCATCTATATTAGTGAAAACAAGCAGGCATAACATATGAATTATATTACTTAGATACGTTACTATAATTAAGAACAATTGTTGTTATTCGTTTTATGTTACTTTTACAAAATTATATTTACAATACTTAATTACGTTATTTTTTTTTTTTCAATTCACAGTATTGTTATTTCTTTAGCTTAATTTAGCAGTATTATTATACCATTATTGATCATTATACCATTTATTGATTGGCAATTCTAATTATATATTTAAAACCGGTTCCCTTTGTTAAATGTTTAACAAATTTTTATAATTTTTTTATTTTTTTTAAATACGATTTTATTCAGAAAGAATTTTTTTTTCCCATAATTATTACTGACGATACTACATTCTTCTATATATAGATATATATATTCTTATGAACATATTTATATATTTGCACTTAAGCATATAATAGTATATATATATATATATATATATATATATATATATGTAATACTAACTATTAATTTTTCTAAACGATGATTCAAATAAATTGGATTATTAATTTTATTTATAATAGTCCTAAAACATATATACGAATCCAATAATTTAACCGTTTGTATTAACAGTCTACATCAAGTATTATTTTTGAATTTTATATTATGTAATTATGTATTCATTAATTCATAGGAAATTTTGGATAAGAATTAATATACAGAGCAAACTATCGACAAAAAAATGCAAAATGGTTTTTCTTACATCAGATTTTGTATATAACGACGGCAACATATTTTCTCTCTTAAGCGTAATAATGGCGGATTATAAATAAATTTTTTTATTTTCCAGGGTGATAGTGGTGGACCATTGGTTAGTAACGATGAATTATTTGGTATCGTTTCATACAGTTTTCAATGTGCCACCGGTGTACCTGACATATTGACCAAGGTTTACTCATACCTAGATTTCATAAGAGCTCACTTGCTAGATTAATACTGGACATTAATCTAATTTTTAAATAGAAGTATAAAGTATTTCTATCGTTTTATTATAATTATCGAAAATTAATTAATAAATATTATATATTTATTTTTAATATTGCAAATGTTACTATTTAAATCATTTTAATGATTATACATGTATTAAAAAAATGCGTTTATAAAATTACACGAATTGTTATTGAAATGTCTTTTTAATATCATTTCGTATGCTTTGATTAGCTATACCAATTTGGTAATCGAATACTGATCTGGATCAACTATTATATTTTATCGAGGGTAAAACAACTTGATGTATTATCTACTATTTTCAACGAATTTTTTCTTCATTTTCTTTGGGATTTATCTGAAAATGATTTTTGAATTTTTGTGTTTTGGAATGCGTTTTCGGTTGTGTTGAAATAATTTTGTAGTATTTGTGTTCAGTTAATGCAATCTTTACGGGTGAAGTGAATAATATGGAACCTCTGTTAAGAAATCGTTGCATAATTACAGATGACTTCCAGGGAATATGTAAGAGATACAAATATTTTTCTGCTGTAATAGCTTCGATCGAGCCATTTAAACCATAACAGAATGTTCTTAATTGTTACGAAACTGCAAGCACTGAAGTGAAATAAATTTTGCGATTTTTTTAATCGAGAAAATTTTCATTGGTTTCTAATAACTCATTACTATGACATCTGAACTTATCCTTATAACATCTTAAATAATATTCTACTTTTCACACTAACAACATTTACAAATCAATGGATTCAATACCATAATCGAATCATGTGGTTATGTATCATTGCATTTAATACATTTTGGAGATTTTCGTAATTCTTTTTACAAATTATAGAACATTTAATATCTAAAATCAAATATATGTTCATACTTACATTGTAGTAACATCCGACCTCTAAAATGAGATAACACGATGAAATCAGAATTACTTTTCTTTAATTAATTAATGTATTTTGATGAATATAATTCGAGCAATATAATTTTTAAAGTAGTGTCGGAAATAGAAAATACATATATTGTATGGGATGATGTGGGAGAATATTCAAATTAGGTTAATCATATTAATAAATTAATCAACAATACATTCATAGATAAAAGAAATTTCGATGTATAATATGCGAATTTTACTTTCACTTTAACGTTCTCTTTCCCTTGCAATATTGAAAATGAAAAAATTTGCTTAGCATTATTGTTCAATAAAATGGATTAGTGGTCACAGTTCATTAAATAATAGATAATTGAAATTCTTTTAAATAGACTTGGTTATTGGCTTTTTGGTGACGGACTGGGAAAATCGTAAGGATTTACATTGCTCATACATTCCAAAAGTCCAGTTATTATTGTTAATGTTAAACGCTTATGCTATTGAAATAAATTGCTATCTATGTGCTTGTTATTTGTTATTTTATTTTGATAATCAAGTTTTTAGTATTGTAGACGCGAGTTTAACATTCGTAGGAACTTTTCTTACGTATATTTACCGAAGCGAGAACGATTATTAAATCAGAAAATAATAAATTTTTTGATATTACATGCATGAACGCACTCATATATGCTGAGGCCTTCGGCAACTCATATCTTTGATTAAAAAGTTTTTTATCAAATATATAATTCCGGAGTTGTTTCATTTTTATATAATAATACCTTTTCGAATATTTGAGCGTCAACTTAATAATTTTTATTTTTTCACATCTTTTAGACAATATATTTTTATAGATATTTACGATATGACTAAACTTTGTCAATAGCATTATTTCTTTCTAAATAACTATACTTTGATAATTATATGTTAATCATTCTTTGATTATATTTTGACCTTCATGTATTATAGCATTTTCAGAAAATCATTAGTTTTATTTATATTGACAATAAGAGACTTGAAGGTATTATCATTTCATTGTTTTTACGTTAACCGCTGAGTACATATGCATCGCTTTAATGATAAATTTCAAATAGTTATATAAATATAAATATGTACTACTTTTGATTATAATTTCTTAAGTCTCTGAGTTTCAATATTATTGGATATAGGTATAAATGAATTTATAATTTTCATTAATATTGTCTTTATATATTCGTAGATCAAGAAATTATAAATATTAGACGATATTCAAATTATATTATATGTTTATGCATATAGGCATCCACACACATACACACGAACGCGCGCATATATGTATGTATATATAATGACAATTTGACAAAGAGTATAAGCCTATAAATATAAATATATATATATGTATTGTGTGTGTGCGTGCGTGCGTGCGTGCGTGCGTGCGTGCGTGCGTGCGTGCGTGTGTGTGTGTGTGTGTGTGTAACTATACAATAGCTATATAAAGCATTTAATTTAGGATATACCAGATTGAATATAAAGGAATAATGGATCTTCGCTTTGTAATTTGTTTGTGTTTCGCTTTCTTCTCCGGTAAGTTTAATTAAATTATTGAATTCATGGCCATATAAATAATTATAAGTATACGTTTATTATGCTTTCGTGAATGAATTCAGATGCATATTATAAGGAACAATATAATATTTCAAATAATGCTCGTTACTTATAATAATTTAAATGTGATATTAATTGTAATCACTGTAATAAAGATGCAAAATTCGTATTGCAATTGAAATAATCTCCGAGTATATTAATTTACAATTGTATATAATATATTCTGTATTTTTAGGTGTTTTTGCGAAAGAATCGAGGATCTATGGCGGACAACGTGCGGTAATAGCTGATTTTCCGCATTTGGTGAACATTCGAACTTATCGTATGAATGAACTTCTCTGTGGAGGTTCTATTATTAGCCGTTGGAATATTCTCACTGCAGCGCATTGCTTAACTCCTATACTAAATCATCCTGCGCATATCAGAATTTACTCTGGATCAACCTGCTTACTAGATGCTAATGGGCAATGTTCTCGAGTTACAAATATACATATTCATCCTGAATGTAACCTTAATAATCCTGGTAGCTTACATTTAAATGATATTGCATTGATTAAGGTATATATATTTGTAGTTATTAGTTTTTTTTTTCTATGATTAGGTGATATGATAATATAAAGAATCTGAAAGAAACTTGCGAAAATATTCATACTTTAAAAATAAATTAAGAATGTTATTTGAATTTTATATTTGTCGTATCCCGAGCAATTAATTATTAGATTAATTATTTTTTCAAACAATTTTGAATTAAATGAACAAAATTCAATTATTATTTTTATTAGAATTGGCTGTTAATATAGAGTTTACTGCTTGAATTTTGTTTGTTATAACGAATTCTATTTGATATGCATTAATACTGGTAATAGTTAATAATAACAAACTTTATTCACTAAGATTTTAATGTTCAATTATTACAGCTCAAAACAACGATCAAATATAATGATTTTCAAAGTAGAATTGCCTTACCAACTCAACCACCAAATAGCGGTGTTTTCGGTACAATCGCTGGTTGGGGAAAAACGGAGGAAGGTTATGGCACAACAAATTCACATTATTTAAAACAATCGTCTGTGGTTATTTTAAATAGTACTGATTGTGCGTCGCGCGTTCCACTCCCAATGGCAAGCACTCAATTTTGCACATTCCATTCAGTTGGAACTGGCATTTGCTCTGTGAGTATATTCAATTTATTATTAATTCTACGTATGTATTCATAAATATTTATTATTAAATTATGATTAATTACTATGAATGCACATTGATGTTTATTCGTGATAATCTCTAAAATTTTAATTATAATGCGCAAACTCCTTTAAATGTGGACAAGCTGACATTCTTGCAATAATAAATCTTGTAATAAGAATTAAAATTGTCAAAATTAAATATTATTATTGCGCTATACATGATAAGCATTATAATATTTGTTAACAATTTACAGAGTACAAAAAGATTTATTTTTTTTTTTAATTTATAGGGTGACGATGGTGGCTCGGTTGTCAGCAATGGAGAACTTTATGGTGTTATATCATTTTCCTATGGATGCGCGCAAGGCATACCAGATGTGCATACTGCAGTATATTATTATTTAGATTTCATAAGATTGTACATGCTCGTATAATTTATATAGTATGTATTAATATTGTCGTTATCATTGTAATATGAATTTTGTACGCGCACGTTACTTATGTATACAATATGATTTTTAAGAAAAAAAAAATGATTATTGCATATTTTGAAGAACGAAGTTTCTAGTTTGTTTATTTAAAGCAATTATTAAGAGATTAGCAGCACCGTGTAATGCCTTAAAACTAGGCGAATATCACGAACGTTATAATAAACAATCAATTATTTACTATACCTAAGTAAGGATTTTTAAGTGTGTTCCTTATTTAAACTTTTAATTTTATTACCTTTGTACAATTAATTCTTTTAAGTTATTTATCTTAGATACGCTTAACATTGTTTAAGCGTATAAACTGTTTATTCAACGTTTAATTTATATATATATATATTCTATTAAATTAAAGAGACCATTGTTACCAGTAGGTGATTTACAAATGATAAGTTACTACAGTTTAATATAAATATCATATATTCGCACTGCAAAGCATAATTTGTATTATATTTATTCTATATTAATAATCTATGTCGTTTGCTTTGTTAGACTTGATGAAAGATTATTTTTCTAGATTTGTTAATGTAATTATAATCATTTTTCGGCTATATTTGCACCTTCAATTATGATTATAGAATATTCTAAAAAGTATTATTAGTAATATTTATATTGACGATAACAGGTTATGCAGGAATTATCATTATGTCGTAAATATTAATTATTTTGAAGTCTCATATGTTCAGTAACTTCACTTCATAAAAAGTTGTTTAAATTATTATATATATATATATATATATATATATATATATAATTTATTACTATATATGAATGCACGAATGTATGCATGCATGTATGTATACATGTACGGATGTGTGGATCTATATATATATATATATATGCGCTTGTGTATGTGTGCATGAGCGTAATTTTGCATTTGATTATTAGATGAATCTACCTATATAAACCTTTAGATTTCGCATACATAATATTAATTACTTTCAAAGGCATCATGGACTTTCGTATCGTAATATGTTTGTGTTTCAGTTTATTCACAGGCAAGTTTAATTAAGTTTTTGACGTTGAAAATTTATAAATATATTTATATTCTTTAAACTTTTGTTATTTAATTTAGATTCTTGTTACGAAGAACAGTATCATCTATAAAGCAATGCGTATTCATTATAATACTTATATAAATGATAATTGTATTAATAAATTAGATTATCTGTTAAAGAAGAATGTAATAATTAATAAAATATAAATTTATCATAATAGTTTTTAATGTTATATGCGGTGTGATAAAAAGTCCGATATCTCTGTTTTGATTGTTATAATGTCATCAATTATGAATTTAGAAAGTTTTTTTAAATGAATATTCTTTCTTTTAGATGTTTTCAGTAAAGAATCAAGAATTTACGGGGGGAATCCAGCGGCGATACATGAATTTCCGCATTTGGTATCTATTCGAACCGATTACTCTAATCAACATCTTTGCGGAGGTTCTATTATTAGCCAAAGGAATATTCTCACTGCTGCGCATTGTTTAAGGGATGTACTTAGATATTTGGAAGGCGTGAAAGTTTATACGGGAACGGCAACCGTAAATGATATTTATGGAAATGCTGTTCGAATACAAGATGTACATTTACATCCTCATTGTGACATTATGAATCCGGATTCTACATTCTATCATGATATTGCAATGATTAAGGTATACTTGTGGATATTAGTTTTTCATTTAAAATTGGTTATTTTTTATTCCTATGATAAGATGAATAATATAAAGAATCTGAAAGAAAGTTCTGTGTATATTCATACTTTAAAAATAAAGTAAAAATGTTATTTGAATTTTATATTTTTTGTGTTCAGAGGGACTAATTATTGGATTAATTATTTTTTCAAACAATTTTGAATTCACACGCGCACACGTACGCGCGCACACACACACGCACATACGCACGCAAAATGGAAATTATTACATTCATTAGAATTGGCTATTGATAGAAAGTTTACTGCTTAAATTTTGTTTATTATAACGAATGCTATTTGATGTCCATTAATATTTATAATAGTTAATAATAACAAACTTTATTTACTAAGATTTTAATGTTCGATTATTACAGCTGAGTACAAAGATAGAGTTTAATAACCTTCAAAATAAAATTGCTTTACCAACTCGAGCTCCAAAAACCGGTGATTTTGCTACAATCGCTGGTTGGGGAAAAACGGAGTATGACCTAATTAATTCACCAATTTTAATGCAATCGCCTGTGGTTATTTTAAATAATACTGATTGTGCATCGCGCGTTCCACTCCCAATGGGTGACACTCAATTTTGTACATACTATTCTGCTGGAATAGGTATTTGCTCTGTGAGTATTTTGAAATTATTATTAATGCTTATGTTTATATTAATATTTATGTATGTTTTCATAAACATGTATTATTAAATTATGGGTTATTAATATGAAAGCACATTGATGTTTATTCGTGATAATCTCTAAAATTTTAATTATAATGCGCAAACTCCTTTAAATGTGGACAAGCTGACATTCTTGAAATAATAAATCTTGTAATAAGAATTAAAATTGTCAAAATTAAATATTATTATTGCGCTATACATGATAAGCATTATAATATTTGTTAACAATTTACAGAGTACAAAAAGATTTATTTTTTTTTTTAATTTATAGGGTGACGATGGTGGCTCGGTTGTCAGCAATGGAGAGCTTTATGGTGTTATATCATTTTCCCATGGATGCGCGCAAGGCATACCAGATGTACATACTGCCGTTTATTATTATTTGAATTTCATAAGAATATTCATTATCGAATAATGTATATAGAATATACTAATATTGTCGTCATCATTGTAACGCGTATACGTAACGTACGTATACAATATGTTTGTAAGAAAGAAATGATATGATTATTACCTATTTGAAAGTATGAAGTTTTTTTTATTTTACAAAAGTATTTAGGTATTAGTTAATGCAAATATCGTTGATTTAAACGAACGTTATTGTTTTTTTTTTTTTTTTTTAATAGTAAATTATCATTGCATACTGCGTACTGCATTTCCCTGCTGGTCTTTATTAGATTATGCTTTGGTCAAGGTAAACTTAATAATTTTCTCAAATTGAATTTTAATTTTTCATATTTCTTGTTTATAAAACACATAATATTTTTATACATATAAGCTAAAGTGCAATTTTACCTTAATTTTATATTCCGAGCTTCATAATCTTACTGATGTTCTTGAGAAATTTCATATTTTTTAAACGAATATATTTACAATTTATTTGTAATTGTATTTCGAGTGAATTTCTTATTTAATTTTTTACAATTATTATTTTTTGACGTATTTGTCTGAATATCTTATATTTTTTATTATTTTCATATGAGTTGTGGTTGGTAAGTAGAAATTTTAATTTCTATATTTTATGTTATGCTTTTTAAAATAAGAATTATATCATTTAAATGAGGTTTTTCATTTGCTAAACTTACTGGTTATTATTATATAAAATCTGTACTAAGTTTTTTTTCTAAGTAGAGATGAATAATTTTCAGTCAATTATGAATATATTCTCCTGTAATTCTAATATTTTTCCCTTATTGATATAAATGCTTTCTTAACATTATAGTCACAAATTGAAAATTTCTAGTATTTGTTACATTCGCTTTTGTCGTGTTACGTAAAATATAAAAATATCGGAAAAATAATGTAAAATAGTTAATATATTATCATATTTAAATCATTTTCATGTCTATTTTATGCTGTATTAAAATAAATAAAAGGTGAATATTTTAAATTAAGTGAATTTATTCAGTCATTTATTCAGTACATTAGCTTACTTATTATTTTTTTTTTCACTAGAAATTTTTTTATTGAATATATTATATTATTCAGAATATTTATTTAATTATATTTACTCTTCGACTGCTGAGTAAGTATTGCATTACTCGTAATTCACTTTAGAATAATATATTTTATATTGATACGGATTTTAAATATGAAAATATGATATTGATTATGATTGTTTTAATTTTGTTATCTTCAATTCTTATTAATGACATGAATTGTAAAAATTTTTTTTTGTTCGAATTTCAATTCATATTTATTTTATGTATTTAATTTATTAGACATTATTAAAATTATATTATAGAATATAACTTATTTTATCAATTACCTATATATAAAGTAGTAAACTATCGAAAATTATCATTAGCAATTAGTTTAATTATAATATTTCGAGTAATTTTTCCAATAATTATTTTGGTATCCTTTGTTATTGTCAAATCATGAATATTCGATTAGTAATATGTTTCTGTCTTCTTTTAATCATCGGTAAGATAAATTAGTAATGTTAACCTGCTTTATATATATTATTGAAATTTCATATTGATTTTTACATAATATTTTGCATAATAATAATACATCATAATAATGGTGCATGTGGTATAAGTTTTTATTGATTAGAAGAAATTTTATTTTCAATTGAATCCATGCGCTACACTAAATTTGTGAATGGGCATTACATTTGTAGGTGCATTTGCCAAAAAGTCAAGGGTTTTTGGGGGACCGCTAGCATCGATAAGTGATTTTCCGCATTTGGTTTCTATCCGAATTATTAGTACGAATGAACTCCTTTGCGGAGGTTCTATTATTAGCCGTTGGAATATTCTCACTGCAGCGCATTGTTTCCTTGGACTTAATAATACATACAATGACGTAAAGATTGTTTCCGGAGCAGGAACTTTACTTAATATTTATTCAGATGTGCATGATATAGATTATATAATTGCTCATCCACAATTTCGCTATAATATACATAGGTTACTCATACACGATGTTGCAATTGTTAAGGTATGTTTACAAATACTAGTTTAACAAAACTTATTCAAAAGTTACGTTTTGTAATTATCAAGTTTCTTTAATTTAAAAATTTTTCCTTTTTGTAAAATTTTTTCCTTATTGCATATATATATATATATATATATATATATATATATATATATATATATATATTTATATTTATAATTTTATAATTGATAATTACAGATAATAAATTATTTTTATAAAACTGTAATAAAGTAGTTTGAGTCTAAATCAATTATGAGATATTTTCATTTTTATAGCTGCGAAGGCCGATATATATGAATGAATTACAATCAATTATTCCATTAGCATCCCGACCAGCTCGTACGGAAAATGTAGCTTTAATCGCTGGTTGGGGGACGACTCCGGATACAGAAGGCCAACTTAATTTTACTCTTTTGAGAATGACTACTGGGATTATTGTAGATAATATTCAATGCGCAGCTTATTTTCCAGTTTCATTACAAAATTATCAGTTCTGTACACTCAATCCTGCTGACGTAGTTATTTGTGCTGTAGGTTTCGTAAAATTATCAATATTCTTTGATTATTATGAATTCATATCAACTTGATTAGTATCATTGACAAATATATTTAATTTTTATATTCTAATATTATATATTTATACTGTATTTATCTTATCTTATCTAATGGACATTTGATGAAGTCTTAATTTCTGTAGTTGATATTAAAAGTATAAAATATGATTTTCTACGAATTAAGATTAAAAATTCTATGTTTTTGTTAGATGATGAATATTATATTTTTGTAAATGTATTGATGTTTCAGATGTAATTTTTTTTTTTTTAATTTTATAGGGTGACTCTGGTAACTCAGTTACTATTGATGGAGAACTTTATGGAATTGTCTCATATACCCTTCGGGGAGCTCGTAATGCACCAGTTGTACATAGTCAAGTGTATTATTATTTAGATTTTATAAGACGTAACATGATCGAATAATTCATATAGTATAATCGAATGTATTATATTATTGTTATTAATTGTATAAATCGATTTAATTTAACAGACACTTATATCGTAATTTAAAAAATTAATGTGACTTTCGAGCAAAGTGCTTCTCTCCTTTCGATTATGGTTAACAATTAAGTTGAATATAAATTTATGACGAATCATAATATGTGAGATTGTTTCAATAAATGAGATGTCATACGAATATTGTAATACCTAATCGCATACAAATTGTCAGAGTTTTCTTCCTAATTGATTTTTCAAATAAATTTTTTAGGCATATATATATATATATTAAAAAATATTCATATAGTAAAATTGATACATTGCGTATTGTAACTTTATAACTACGATTAAATGCTTAAATTTTTTCTGACAAAATATTTATTTTACGTTATTATTAAATATATTTAATATTATACTGATTATGTATTTTAAATAGACTATTTGGTTAATGTTAAAATCTTTGAAATGAAGCTTACATAAGATATTTTACTTATAAAAACGCAAAATTAAAGTTTTAAAATTAAAATTATTAGAAAATTAGGTCAACTTAAGAGAATTAATAGTTTAATAAAATGATCTATTATTTTTATTGTTGAAATAAAAATATAATATTTATATATTACAAATCGTACGTATTTAATTGGTGAAAAATCAACTTTTCTCTTAGAAAAAAATATTTTCTATTATTCTATTAAAAATAATGAACTTCGTTATAATTTAGTACATGCAACGGATTTCCTATTTATTTCGATCTGCTTATGGGCAAATAATTTATCAATTTTTATGTTTTAATTATCGAAAAATAAACATTTTTTTGCATGATAAAGTTTTCGTTAAAGAGAAATAATTGTATTTATCTGTTAGTATATGATTGAATAGATTTTATTTATCTGTTTAGAATCTACATATAAAAATGAATTATTAAATATTTCTTAAAAAAAAAATTGATATATATATATATATATATATTATATATTAATTTAAATTCTGAAAAATGTAATTATCATTATTGCCGAATAATTTATTGGAATATAAAGGTTTTATAGATATTCGATATTACGTAAGTATATTCGAAGCATAGGTAATAGAAGGGACAAGTGCATGTTAAAATGAAAGTAATAAATCATTTAATCAATAAATAATATTCATTGGATAATATAACTAATATTAAAAACACTATTTTTGTTTTTTATACTTTAATGCTTTTTAAATTGAGAAATTAAACGCCTTTTGGAGCACATTTGTAGGTGAAATGGGATTCGGCTAGTATATTTCGGATTAATAGTCTCTGAATATTATGTAATTGAATAGAATTTACCTCATAGAATATTAGATTTTGTTTTATAAATGTACGATTAGTGGTGGTTATTCATATTTAGGCACCTGTTCAAATTCACAAAAGTTTGTTTGTTTGTTTGTGAAGTAACCCCTGCCTCTTTATATGAGCAATAGTTGAATATTTTTAATATCCATGAAAAATTATTAAATGATCATGATATTAAATCATATACAATGTTCATTAAAAAAAATTTTTTTTAAAAATTATTATATTCAGTATTAAGTACATTCTCCAGCTTACAAAGTTAACTTGTATTTAATACGATTTAATGTTATGAAGGTAAAATTTGTTTAATTATTGAAATGCATTAATCGCTCATGCTTATGTTTATTCTATGATGTTGTATATATTTATTATAAGAATTTTGTTTGGAATTGAAGTAATATTTATTTGAGAAATGTTTTCTCATATTTTAAAACTAATATTAACTTACAAGACAATGAGTAATGTGTCAAATAGTTAGTATTTAGTAACAATGTAGTGAATAATAATGTTAATTAATAACTTTAAAACAATAACCTTTTCGAAATTTCGATTAATACTGATTACAATTTCTCAGTCATAACTATTTTTAATCTTTGAATTAATAAAGATAAAAGAAAAACATAAAAATGCTATTTATTGTTGTGCATTGGTATTTATGTAAAGTTTGAAAAATTCTTATATAAGAAGTAAATATTTTTTAAGGAAATGTAAAAAAACTCATGGAAAATAACTACAATTTACGTTCGTACTATTTATCAAACAAAGAACTAGGTGTATCTATATAAAGTATTTTAGTTCATTAAATTTTTATTTACTACATACAATAGCTAAAATGAGCTTCAGAATTGTAATTTTTTTCTGTCTCCTATTATGCAATGGTAATCCAAAACAAAATTTAATATTATTGGTATAAACCTTATACAATTGTATCGATAACATTTTATGTATTTAATTGTCATTATTAATGAATTCTGTATTCGATAATTTGTGATAATTATTACCTAACCTACTAAATTCATTTCTTTGTACTTTTAGCTAATCTTGCTAAAAATGTGAGAATAATTGGTGGTACTGATACTTCAATAAGACATTATCCGCACATGGTATCAATTAGGAATTTTTATACTCAAATGCTCATATGTGGTGGTTCGATTATTACTAAATGGAACATTCTTACATCGGCTCATTGTTTGCATGGATTGAAAGATGACTATTCCAATGTAAGAATATACGTAGGATCGAGAAGCTCAGTTTCGCTTATTGGACCTAATTTTGGAATTGAGCAAGTACATTATCATCCAAAATTTAAGAAATTCTTAAACGGCGACGGAATATTAAATTATGATATCTGTGTTATTCAAGTACGTTATATATGGTTTATATTATAATAGAAAAAGCTATTTAATTTGAATAAGTCTTAATGTATAATTCGAGTCAAAGATAATTAATTTGTTTCAAGCAATATAAATTAAAGTCATATTAAACTTCCCATGATATTTACATATATTAACACCTAGATAATAATAAATTATCATTTTATATTATTACGAATTATCTTTTGTTTTGAATTATTATTAATTACTTAATTAATTAATATTAAGTACTATCTAAATATTTATTTAATAATAATTGATAAGAAAAACATACATTTTTATAATTTTGTGCAATATTGATCTTAGGACTTACGAGCCAATTTTTCATTTTTCAATACATAGCAATTTATATTAAAAATCTTTTACCATACATTAATTTTATAATTACTATTTTATTTTACTATCATGTTTATTATTCATAAGATTGATATTTAAAAGTACATTATTATTATGAATAATGATAAAATTGTTTAATTAAGAATGCGATAATTTTTCTTTGTAGAAAATTATATTTCTTAATTATTTATAATTTTTCAATTATTATAATTTTTTTCCTCTATATATAATTTTATATTTCAGCTCTTACGACCCATTCGCTTCAATGAATTTCAAAACAAAATTAACATTTCCACTAGAAATATTATTACCGGTGATCTTGCAGTTTTTACCGGTTGGGGTGTTTGGGTTCCACATTCTACCGAAACTTCTCCGAGGCTGAAAGCAGCCTCAATGATTATATATGATCATTCAGACTGTTTGCGAAAACTTTCAAAGCCAATGATAATCCATGACGATCAGTTTTGCACTTTTAATGACGATGGATATGGAATCTGTGACGTAAGTATATTTCAACTATCCACCGCCATATATCAATAAATATATCAATAGATTATCAATTTTTATAGTTGATAAGCAGCGATTGTATTACTAAAAAAATTATTTTCTTTATTTTATAATTTGATTATTCAATTAGTAAGAGACACTTTTATATTGTAGGGTGACAGTGGCGGATCAGTAATTTACAACCAAGAACTTGTTGGCATTATAACCGATACTTTTCAATGTGGCGAAGGTTTACCCGACGTGCACACAAATGTTTATAATTATTTAGATTTTATAACGCATCATATGATAGAATAATGTTAACGAGATTCACGAACGTATATTTAGTTATTTTTTTAAATACCAAATGTATATAAATCGCACACACTATTGCATAATTATTGTATTTTTGTATATTCCGAATTGAAAATCATGTACTTATACAGATTTTAATATAATAGCGATATATTGTATCGATTAAACAAAGATTTCCACTTTATTTGACATCTGTCTTCAGAACGACTGTAGTTCTATGTGAATTTTGCATATAACTGTATCGAAAAGGTAATTAGTGTATTGATTCGTTATTGGTAGGGTAGGAGATAATGTCGCTTCAGTTGATGTTCAAATCTTTGCAGATGTGGCACTGTTTCAGTTACCAAATAAGCGATATCCGATAAGGCACCATCTTTGAGTAAACGGTGGTTTTCGTTAAACTTATTACGAGTGACAAAGGATAAAGATGAAATGTATTTAGAATTGCATGTATAACCATGTATATTTTTTCTTGTTACATATAGCAATTTTTTATTTTTTTCATATTTGGTATCGATGTTACATATATATATATATATATATATATATATATATATATATATATATATTGCATAGGATGTACTTATACATTATCATAATGGATTAAGGAAATTCTATGATTAAAATCTTTCATATTTGTAACAATGGATGACGTTTGACAATATCTAGAGTCATTGGATTATAGCATCAGGCGTTCGAACTTTCAAAATGTCGGACTTAAACTATGGTAAATATATCCGACTCTTCCATGTTACTGGATCAGTGTATTTAGTTTATAATTGAAAGATAATTACATAAATTGAAATAAATCAATGTTGTGTTTCGATTAGTTCTAAGAGAATTATATTTTATGATTTAGAACACTTATGGCGGCATTACTTTCGAGCTAATTTTGTTAAATGGTTTTTTTTTAAGATTTTAATGATTATCTAAGTTAAGAAATTAGTATTTAACAAGTAATGTTATTCCATTTCATGTTAACTTCAGAATAAGATTAATTGATAAATTTTATCTATATTTCCTTGATACAATAAAAATACATTATAAAAATTCTTATATTTTATTAATATATATAATTGATGGATAAATGGATTCCTTAAATTTATAATTATTCTTTAGTTTTGTTCGCAAATTTATTTTGGTTATAATAAAACGAAATAGTATAAAAATATTAGATATTTCGTAATAATATATATTTATACTACAAGATTAATGGCGGTCACATACTTTTAATTACCATTAGTCATAATTTTCATTGGAAATAAAAAAATTAATCTATTAGAAATAATTATAGGTAGTACAAGTTGATATATTCATTTTATATTCTACTATTTGTATCATTTTACTAATAATCAAATTATTATAATGACATTATAATATTTGTATTTTCAATTTAATTATAATAAAATTTTTGTAACTATAATTTTACAATATATTTAATATTCGAATCTAAGTAATTAATTTCTTTAAAATTTATTTTTGATATAATCAAACGTAAGATATATTTTTCAATATTAATCATTGAAACGAAATTAATTAAATTTATTCATTGCCTAAATGAGACCGTGAACACTTAAGTGTGTATTTTTTATGAATGTAATTAAAACTTTGTGGTTTTCATTGATAACTGTTTTGATTTATCGATAACGAATTTTTCTTTATGTAGAACACCTGATCTCTTAAATTTAAAACCATTTTAAAATATCTACTTATATGATATTCATAAAGTATCTCAATCGTTAATGTCCATTCATAAATTTCACTTTGTTAATTATTATTATTTATAAATATTTGGTTATTAAACGTATAATTTATGGTTGTGCATTGAGGCCTAATGCATTGAATATAATTGAATATTAGAAAAACAATAAATATTGTTTACAAATCTTGCTATGTATTTTCCCTAAACCTAATTTTCATTAAACAAATGTCACAATTTCAATAAATGACCTTTACTTTGCTGCTTAAATGTATAATGATTGAAGTAATAGCATAAAATTATTTTGCATTCATTTATTGTTAAACCTATATTGTTCTAGTCCAATATTAGAAAACTAAATTGAAAGTTACATCTCCAATTCTATTATATTACCTTAACGAAGCTAAAATATTTTTATTGTAAACACAAATATGAAAGAAAAACGAATACTTTGAAGTACATATCAAATGTGCGTAGTTTTGTCGAAGAAGAAGATAATCCTTTATTTTTTATATATTTGGTTTCAATGTTATATATATATATATATATATATATATATATATATATATATATTATAAGGAATGACTCACTCAAGACTACACTTTATTTACTACTACATTTACTTACAACATTTACTTACTATGTTATAAATAAATTTCATACATATACTTTCAAAGCACAATTCTATCTGTACTTTATATGAATAATCTTTGTCAATTAATTATTAGTATTCTTGAAAGTTTGAATTTTGATAATTATAATATTTGCATTTTCATTTATAATTATGAATATTTTAAAGAGTCTAATTGTAATATTTATATCAATGATAACGGATTATACATAAATTATGATTTAATTATGTTGATATAGTAACCGCTGAGTAACGAATAGTTCAGTGGAACATTTTACTAAAATGACAATTTATATATTTAAACAGTTTCTAAATATTTAAATATAGTTTTCATTATAGTTTCTTTAGCTCCAATGTTTTTTTAACGAGAATTTAGAATAGAAAGCGTAAATTGTCTTTGTTATTTTATGCATATATATTGCAGGAATAACAATTATAATTTATTCATATCACATAACATATGCAATATATATATATATATATATATATATATATATATGTATATAAATATATATATATATATATATATATATATATATATATATATATATATATATTAAAAAAAAAAATATATATATATATATATATACACATACATATAAGCGTATGTGTGTGTGTGTGTATGTGTATGAGCATGAGCGTGCCTTTGTATTTGTTTATTAGATGAATCTACCTATATAAAGCTTTAGATTTTGCATACATAATATTAATTACTTTCAAAGGCATCATGGACTTTCGTATCGTAATATGTTTGTGTTTCAGTTTATTCACAGGCAAGTTTAATTAAGTTTTTGACGTTGAAAATTTATAAATATATTTATATTCTTTAAACTTTTGTTATTTAATTTAGATTCTTGTTACGAAGAACAGTATCATCTATAAAGCAATGCGTATTCATTATAATACTTATATAAATGATAATTGTATTAATAAATTAGATTATCTGTTAAAGAAGAATGTAATAATTAATAAAATATAAATTTATCATAATAGTTTTTAATGTTATATGCGGTGTGATAAAAAGTCCGATATCTCTGTTTTGATTGTTATAATGTCATCAATTATGAATTTAGAAAGTTTTTTTAAATGAATATTCTTTCTTTTAGATGTTTTCAGTAAAGAATCAAGAATTTACGGGGGGAATCCAGCGTCAATACGTGATTTTCCGCATTTGGTGACTATTCGAAAGTACCTGGATCATAAACTTATTTGCGCGGGTTCTATTATCAGCCGCTGGAATATTCTCAGTGCAGCACATTGTTTAATTGGGTATCATTATAATTATGAGGAACTAAGGGTTTTTACAGGATCTACCAGCTCACGGAATATTTTTGGAGATCGTTTTCGAATTGAGCGTACATACTTTCATCCCGAAATGCGCCGTCAGGATGTACATAGCGTATACATACATGATATTGTTGTGATTAAGGTATATTATAAAGGTATATACGGTATATTATTATATAAGTACAATCGTTGGTTTTAATGAAAAATAGCAAAAAAATAATTTTTTAAAATTAAAATTATTGATTTATTTCCAGTTCTAAAAATATAAAAAAGATCATGTACAATTATTTTTTTTTCCTGTAATAGATGAATAATATAAAGAATTTGCAATTATTCCTATGTATAACATTTTTCAGGAATAAATTAAAATTGTCAGTTCACTATTGTATTCGAAATTTTATAAATAACTGTAATTAATTGTCAATATTTAGAATTCAATTGGTACTTTAATCATAATTTATTTTAAATTTACTGCTATTTTTTTACTCATTCATGATGTCAATTTTTATATCTTATTTTTATTATTTTCATATTAATGACAGTTTTCGAAAACGAATGTGAGAATAAATTAAGTGGATAATTTTATCTAAATCCGTAATTACATTATAGTCTGAGCTTATTAGAATTATAAAATTATTTAATTCATGAATTTTTGAAGTAGATAATTGATTATTATAATCTGATATCTGTAGGGGGCTGTGTTGTAAGTAAAAATGATTAATTTTTCTATATTTAGAATATAAACTGTTCTGCAAAATATTCAGAAATTCTTTCTTTAATTGTCAGTATATAAATATGTCATATGAACATCGGAAACGATAATTATAAATACTATTTTTAATGAATGATTAATATTTCAACTACAAAATTGAATTTTGTAAAAATTTCTTCTATATATTAATCTTCACTGTTACAGCTGGAAAGACTAATATTATTCAATGAATATCAAAATAAAATTCCTCTACCATCTCGACCTCCTTTTACTGATAATATGGTTATAATTGCTGGTTGGGGAGTAACTGAGAATGTCCAAGCAGGTGTTACATCAACATATTTAAAAAAGTTGCCTGGAAGCGTTTTAAATTATACTGATTGTAATAATTTTATTCCACTTGTAATATCCAACAATAAGTTTTGTACGTACCATTCACTTGGAAAAGGAGTTTGCTCTGTGAGTATTTTCAATTTGGTATTAATAATTCGTGTGCTTTCATAAATTTTTATCTTTAAATTATCATTAATTACCATTAATGCACATTGATGTTTATTTATGATAATTATATTTATGATTTAAACTATCATGGGTAAACTGATTTATAATGTGCAGTCAACTATTAAAAATTATAATTTTTAAAATTATTAAAAAAAAAAAAAAAAAAGGATTTGCTATTCATATTTTATTATACATGATGAGTATTAAAATGTTTGCGAATAAATTATGAATTCAAAATATATTCTTTTAAAATTCTATAGGGTGATGCTGGTGGCTCGGTTACTAGTAATGGAGAATTATATGGTATTATTTTATTTTCCTTCGATTGTGTTCAAGACGTACCAGATATACATACTACAGTTTATTATTATTTGGATTTCATAAGAACACATATGATCGAATAATTTATATAAAAAATATTAATAATGACGTTACCAATGTAAAGTATATTTTATACTCGTATATTATTGTATGCATATAATATGATTTGTAAGAAAAAAAAAAAAAGATATGATTATTATATATTTGAAAGTACGAAGTTTTTTTTATTTAATATCATAATTATTAATTAAGTACTGTATTACGCATTAAATGTCTCCAAAATTAATCGATCAATTTTAAATACGTTTCATCCATAAAATTAAATTACTTCATAATTTTCTGCTGTTAGATATAATTGATGGATTATTCCTTACGTAAACTTAAAGTTATTCTCTACTTTTCTGTGCAAATTTATTTTGGCTATAATGAAACGAAATTTTCTAAAAATATTATATATATCGTAATAATATGTATTAATGACGCAATGTTTAAATAGTGTAAAAGAAAGGAAAGGTTAAATTATTAAATTTCCATTTGGAAATATTAGAAGTTGCTTTCTTTTTTTATCTTTCACGATTTTCATTGCTTATTAAGTTTTTAATAATCATCTGTGCACATGTTTTTACCGAAAAAAATATAGAAGTAACGAGGCAATTTTAAAATTATTATAATTATTAAACAATGTTGTTTATATAAACTTATATGCTTTAATGAACGTTTTTAATATTTGCTTTAAAATTATAATATACTTACTGAATAATATACATAATGAATAAATAAATATTTTTAATTATTAGCATAACATATTAGATTTAGTAAAACCTGTTATGTATCATCACTGAATCAAGCAATTCTATTTCATTACATTTTAATCTATAATGTTAATTATTTTCTAAAATTTTGTATCGATGGAATGTGAATTATTTCAGTAAATTTTTTTTTACTCTAATTATTCTATATCTATAGTTACAATGTTTTCTTGTTATATGTATTGAAGGTGGTAGTTAGATTAATCAGGAATTATAAATAAACTTTTTATTTCTTTTCCTACGCTTAAAGAATTTTTAAGTAGGCGATGTACTTAATATAAATTGTTATTGATTATAAGTTAAATAAATAATTATAATTTTAGTAAAAATTAAAAAACTAAATGTTTTAAAAATAATTATAAATTTTACAGGTTGCTATTTTCATTCTATTTATTCTATTTTTCAAATTCTAGTATTTTATGATTTTGTAATTAAGTAATTATAAACACATTATAATATTAAAATTTTTGTAACTATAATTTTACAATATATTTAATATTCGAATCTAAGTAATTAATTTCTTTAAAATTTATTTTTGATATAATCAAACGTAAGATATATTTTTCAATATTAATCATTGAAACGAAATTAATTAAATTTATTCATTGCCTAAATGAGACCGTGAACACTTAAGTGTGTATTTTTTATGAATGTAATTAAAACTTTGTGGTTTTCATTGATAACTGTTTTGATTTATCGATAACGAATTTTTCTTTATGTAGAACACCTGATCTCTTAAATTTAAAACCATTTTAAAATATCTACATATATGATCTTCATAAAGTATCTCAATCGTTAATGTCCATTCATAAATTTCACTTTGTTAATTATTATTATTTATAAATATTTGATTATTAAACGTATAATTTATCGTTGTGCATTGAGGCCTAATGCATTGAATATAATTGAATATTAGAAAAACAATAAACATTGTTTACAAATCTTGCTATGTATTTTCCCTACTCTTAATTTTTAATTAACATATATTAAATGTTAAATTTACGCAGATTGTATTAATTATATTACATGACTAGTGTATATATGTTGTTACAATTTAATGTATTACAATGTATTTTTATTGAGTTATATAAATTGTTTGAAAACATGTTGATCAATAATGCAATGTTATTTTAAGTGTTTAAATATAATGTAATAAAGTATTTGAATTTTTTTGAAAACTTGATATTATTGAAAAATAAAATTAATACTGGTATCCATATTTCTTTTTAATTAATTAAAATTTTATTTGTCTGCATGATAAGGCAGCAAGATATATTTAAAATTAATATTTCACAATTTTTAAGCAAATCGCTTTTGGTTTCTTAAGAATTATTATATTAATAAATACATTTATTATTGTCTTAATCAATAATCACATTGACGTATTTATAAAGTATATTAGAAGTATCTATCCTAGAAAACTTATAAAACTAATACTAATGCCAATTAATTATATATACCTATTGTACTTCAAACAATAAAAGCACCAAATCGTTTCAAAAATACTGTGGCATACAAAATTATTAATATTATTACATCATTATATTATTAATTTTATTCGTAACCGATTAGTATAAAGTTTCAAAAAATTCTATTCGAATCAATAACGAATGACAATGAAATTAACAAAAGAACTCGTAATAATTTTCTGTGTATTAATTGTAGGTAAGTTAAATTAAAGTATTAGATAAATAAAATTTATATAAGAAATACAGTTATTTGTTTATACGCTGAAAATCACCTTATTGTATTTATAAATCCATGCACGTTTATCAAGTGTTATTATATATATAAATAATATATACAAGTAATTAAATAAATAATAAATTAAATCATATACAATTTTAAGACTTTAGTAGATGTCTGTCGATAAAATAACGTATGGCAAATGATCTTTGAAGTTTCGTATTTATTATCTTTAGGTAACTGGGCAAAGAGAAAAAGGATTATTGGAGGCACTAAAGCTGCAATTAGCGATTTTCCGCATTTGGTGTCATTCAGAACATTGTATAATAAACATTTTTGTTCTGGCTCGATTATTTCCCGATTACATATTCTTTCAGCAGCTCATTGTTTCACATATTTTAACCATCAATATTATAGAATTAAAGTGTATACTGGTACATCTAGCTCAACAAGTACATCCGGAGATGTACATGAAATTAATAATATTATTATTCACCCTCTATTTGTGTGGAAATCAAAGGATTTGCAAAATCCTCATGATATCGGTATTGTTACGGTAATAAACATATAAGTATTACTATATTTATTTTTATTAATATTTTAATAACAATATTATATATATTTATATAAATATATGTGTGTGTGTGCGCGCGCGCGCGCGTCTGTGTATATATATATATATATATATATAAATTGGTTTAAATTTTCAGAGTATCTAAGTAAAAATATATGCATATTTCTTCATTTATATATTAAAAAATTTACTTTAATTTATTTCAATTGTCATCAAATAAAAAAATCGACCTTATATCAATTTTTATAAATTTATTTTATATCTATAAAATTAAAATTTAAATAATTTATTGAAAAATATTTATATATATATATATATATATATATATATATATATATATATATATATATAAATATTTTTCAATAAATTATTTAAATTTTAATTTTATAGTGATGGCATATTTTCATATTTTAAGAAATATCTATACGAAACTTATATTGTTCTACTTAAAAATTTATTAACAATTGTAAAAGTTTTTCTATTATTATGATAATATTATTCAAAAAGAAAAACAATAACATAATAACTATAATAATAAATACTAATCATACATATTGATTAATTAATAATAATAAATAATTATAAATAATAATAAATTAAGAGCAATATAAAATAATAAAGTTTTCTATTAAAAAAAATAATACACATGCGAATATTTTTTTCACAGCTAAAAAGCGAAATTCAATTTAATTCAGTACAAAAAAAAATTAATCTCCCAACAAGAGATGTTTTTGATGATAATCTTGGCGTTCTTGCTGGTTGGGGAATATCACACGTTGATTATACAATGATTTCTGACAGATTGTTGAAAATTCCGGCAACACTATTTAATTTCGTTTCATGTGCTGCAGAAATACCGTTTATTGTTTATGAAAATCAATTTTGTTCAGTGCATTCGTCAAATACTACAGGGCCTTGTCCGGTAAGTTATTAAGATTATTCTTATTGTTATTAAATCACAACATTTAATTGTGCTATATAACTTTTGTAATTGATCTATAAGTTTCAAATTAATTTTGAATTATAACAATAATTTTCGTAGAAATATTAAAAAAAATCTGATAATTCATACGATGCGTCTAGATTTATGAAAAATTTAACTTGTTATGGTTATGGTTATATGGTTATGTTAATGTGAAAAGAATACTTTTAATATTTATAGGTTGATAGTGGTGGCTCAGTAGTTAGTAATGGCGAACTTTATGGTATTATTTCGATGACTGAACATTGTGTAAATGGATCACCTGCCGTACATACAAAAGTTTATTCATATTTAAATTTTATTAGACCTATTTTGAAACAAAACTTAAACGATTGATTTATTTAAATGGAAAGCTTCATGTAATGAAAATTAATTATAATTGTTTTTTAATTATAATTAATTCAATTGTTATTATTTTAATGATAAATATATTAATGTAGTATATAGAAACAAAATTATATTTAAATAAATTAAATTACATTATATGTATATCCCATATATATATATATATATATATATATATATATAAGATTATATGAATAACCATAAATGGCTATTCGTGGTGCGATATTTTTTTCCGAAAAAAAAAATGATTTTTCCAAAAATGTATTTGACAAATAAAAGTTATTATATTATAAACTTGAAATTTATAACAAATTTAAATTAATGCTATATTTAAATTTGCATTGTTAATATAAATTATTTTACAATACTTAAAATAAATTTTTAATCCATAGAAAATGTAATAAAAAATTTATCTGTAATTCTGACAATTAGAATCTATTCATGTATAAATAAATATAAGCCCATTACACTAAAAATTATACGTTTCTTATATTCTTATATAAAAATTGAGAAATGATGAAGAAAGAAATGTATAAAAATTGTCTATCATGACATTTATATGAATATAAATAAAAATGTGCAACGAATAATTTCGAAGTGTCTTGTATAATTATTAAAACAGTTAATATATTTAATATATTTAATCATAATAAAGATTTATTGTCTAATAAGATATTATACATTATGAAAGTAATATATAACAATAATATAGTTTACATATTAACAACGAATTTTTATTAAATATTCTCTCTGATTAATTAAATCTCTGATAATTATATCACTCTCTTCATTATTTAGAAATTTTCATATTATTGTATATCCACATATTTAATATTTTATTACACACCTTTATCAGCTCATCTATTCTAATTAGACAATAAAGTAGCTTATTTGTTTAATAAAGTATCTGTCTAAGTAGTTTTCATTTGAATAAAATCCAACAGATCGATACTAAAATAATTATTAAAAATTGAAAATTTTAAATTTATTTACATTGGATTAATTTCAACTTTCGTCATGATAATAAAATAATAAAATTTTAAGATAAATTAAAATACAACGTTATTACATATAATTTTTAAATATTGATAATATTATTATAATTTAATGTATATTTTTGAATTGGTATTGATGAATTGTTGAAGATGTAAATATTATACTAATACTAACGAAAAACACATGTTCAATTTAATTTTTCAAAAATACTATCTTGAATTATGCATAACTCAAGACAATACTTAATTTTCTTTATTAGCATTTTTTTTTTTTGCCTTTTTGAATAATTACGGATACCTTAGATCTGATCAACTGTATCAATAGAAACTGTAGATACGATTTTTCTATTATTTTACGTATTTATATATTGTTTTTATAACAATGTATGAAAAGTGTGTTACGTTAGTTGATTAACCATGTATATTTAGAATTAAGGACGTCACAAGGGAATCATATAAATGTTATTTCGTTTTCGTTTAAATAATTTCGGCATCAATTATTGAAATTATTAAATATTAGATATTGTAGACAAATAATGATATTAGATATTACATTCCAAGCCCATCAATTGTTTTCAAAATAATGAACAATTTAAACTGATAGACAGTTAAATTAGGTTATATTAAATATGTATGGTTTACTTTACGATAAGGTATAAATTATTTTTGGAATTACAATTTATAAATATTTTATCTACATAAAATATTAAAATATTAAAATATTAAAAGTTTATAAGCTTATCGATATTCTGAATATATTCATTATATTTATATTCATTATAAAATTTTTAATGTATAATTACTAATAATTTTGAGTATATTATCAGTTTTAAAATGAGCCTTCATTATTTTAATTTAGAGGTTTTACAATATTTGACAATTTTTAAAACTAATATTGTTTGTAATCACTCAATTAAATATAAATATTGTAAATATAGTGAAATTTACATAGTATATATGACATGAAAAAGAAACCTTATTCTTAGATGTACAATATTATTGTAATTTCCGTATATTAATTTTAAAGAAACAGTCTATTTATATAAACTATCGTGTAATATTTTATTTTAAAGTATCAAGAAGGTCAGAATGAATTGTAAAAAAATATTTGTAATTTTTCTTTTTATATTCACTGTAGGTAAGCTCATTTACGGAATTTGAAAAAAAAGATGGATTTTCCATAATGTTTCAATTACTTTTGATATTTTTTCATATATTTATGATACAAATATAAAAATTTCTAAAATGAAAGCAATCAATTAAATCATCTGAATGCCTTAAACATAATACAATTAATTTACCTAATTCTTAATAGGGATCTGTAAATAAATCGTACATTTTATTTAATGTTTTCAGGCACCTACGCGAAGAGAAAAAGGATCATTGGAGGGTCAAATGCTTATATTAGAGATTTTCCACATATAGTGTCATTCAGAAACGACTTAAATGAACATTTTTGCTCTGGCTCTATTATTTCTCGATTGCATATCCTTTCGGCAGGCCATTGTTTCATAGATTATATAAATGAACTCTTTCGGATAAAAATTTACAGTGGCACTAGTAGTTCAATAAACACATCCGGAGATGTACATGAAATCGATAATTTAATTTTTCATCCAGGATTTTCATGGAATTTTTATAAGTCAAGAAGTCCTCATGATATCTGCATTGTTAAGGTAGAAAATTTAAATAATTTACTCACACACGCATATAGGAATACGCGCGCGCTTATACATTAACGCGTCCTGCATATCCTATTACATTACACTAGCAATTTAATTTAAATATGTAATTAGTAAAAGAAAATACTTTTCATTTTTATTATGGAAGGTGTAATATTACTTTAATACAATTTTAGTCGTTGTAAAATAAGATTTTAAAATAGAAGTTTAATTTTCTAATATGTATTTTCTAATATAATAATAACATAGGGCTTTGTCAGTAAAATTTTCACTAACAAAGATTCATTTGAATAAAGGGATATACATATTTATATTTAAAACAAAATATCAATATAAGAAAAAAAAGTTTGTTTTCAATAACTTATTAGACATTGAAATTGAAAAGACCTTTTGTCTTGAATTCTTTCATGTACTCTTTTTAATAATTTCATTTAAAAGAAACTTATATAGAATAAAAACTTAACTTATGTTAAGTTTAATTCATCGATGTATAAATAATGCGATTATTGTTATAGTTCTTTGAGTTGAAAATCTAGCGAAATAATCATTATTTATTTCAAATTAACAAAATTAATAAATAACAATGAAAATATCAATTCATTAAACAATAAAATTAATTGACTTCTTTCATTTTTGATTGTTACAGGTAAAGCATGAAATTCAATTCACTGACTTGCAGAAAAAAATTAAACTTCCATCAAGAGATGTTTTTGATGAAAATCTTGCTATTATTGCTGGCTGGGGATTGTCACACTTCGATCGTGCAATTATTTCTAGCAAATTGTTGAAAGCCCCTGTAGGTCTTTATAATTACATCATGTGTAGCAACATCCTTATGATTTTTGTTTTTGAAGATCAGTTTTGTTCTGGCCATACGCAAGGAATCGAGGTTGTTCCCGTAAGTTCTTTAAGATTTTATTTCTTTTAAAATCAGATTTTTAATTTTTTATTCTTTATATTATTAATTATCTTAAATTTGTAATTTTAATTATTTATAAATATATATATATATATATATATATATATATACTATTTGTCATTAATACATAATATTATACAATGTTTAGTTATACTATGTTAAACTAATATAAATTGTATAAATGAATCTTATGTTGTCATAGAATCTAAAGAGAATATTTTCAATTTCTAGACTGACACTGGTGGTTCGGTCACCAGTAATGGAGAACTTTATGGTGTTATTAGCATAAATAATGAAAACCGAAATAGATTATTTGCCATACATACAAAAGTTTATGCATATTTACAATTTATTCGTGATGTTGTGGGAGCGGCATTAGAGAACTAATACATATTTAAATGTAAACGTTTATTGGAATCAATATATTTTTGTATTTTGAATTTTAATTATATTTTTATTTAAGAAAATTTTATTGTTTCACATTGATTATGATTAAAAAATTATTGAATTTTAAGTTAATGAATTATAAGTTGCAAAATTTATAATTTTGTTGCAAAATTAGTATACATTGTCAACATTTTTATATATGCGTCGTAAGTTAATTCTATAAGTTTTGGCAGAATTTCGAATAAATCTTAAGTATATTGTTAGGTAAAATTTAAAAATGTTTTTAATAAATAATGTAATATATGATATTTTTTATTTAAAAATGTGAACTCAAATTTATAATTTCTTCAAGTCTTATCTATTTGTCATCCCATACTCGATTATTTAAAACTATGAATTTTATCATTAATTTTTATCACTTGTTTTTTTAAATAATAGTTCAATTTAAAATAGCAGTCTATAAATTTTTCTTTCTTTCATCTTTATAAAATATATCAAATGTATAGATTTAAAATTTTTTAAACGTATCTAATGATTTTTAGTAACTGAAGGTTTACATATAAATAAGATTTACATATAAATAAGTATTGTGTTATGAATAATTTAGATGTTTCTATAAACATAGTAGAATATAATAAAAATATAATTTACGCTAAGAAGTAAATAAACAAAAGAATATAGAATTGAATTATATGTGCTTTAATAGTAGTGTTCTACAGAATTGTTTAGAATTCTTCGCATATCTGAGTTATGATGCAAATGCTTCTCTTTGATAGATTCATTACGATATCGCAATGCGAAAAATAAATAAATTATTAATTTATGGATGATGTAAAATAAATAATGAATGAGTAAAAAAACAATTTCAGTTCTGGTAAAACCAAAGTTTTATGATTCCTTTTTAAGCTATAAGTAAAAGTATTTCACATTTTTATTAAATGAAAATAATTACATACATCATAATTGCATTAATCTACTTTATGGTTTTGTAATTTTATTTTACTATATACGGAATTCAGATGTTTATTATAAAAGCTGTTATACAATTTATTTTATATATTTCCTCTGTCTTTTATGAGTCTTCCACTGTCACAACGAACTAATAGACTTTCGAGCTATAAGTGAGATATACTGAAAAAATAATTTTAAAAGTATCAATTAAGGATTGAGCTTTATACTTTGTATATAACTTTTATAACAATGTAGTTATTTTTTTTTCCATTTAATAATAAAATAGATTCAGTTATGCCTATATTTGATATATATATATATATATATATATAATTGTAATTTTATTTTATATATATATATATATGAAAAAAAAATAACTACATTGTTTTTATTTATATATATATATATATATATATATATATATATATATATATATTTGTTTGCTGATAATTAATATTATGAATTTCATGAATATACAATGAACATATTGTTACAATGTACTTAAATTTTCATATATTGAATTAAAAATAAATTAATTGAGCAGTACATTATTCTTTATTTAGTATGGAATTTAATGTTTTATATACGTCTTACATAGATATTTGACTATTATGGGATATTTATTCTGTGTTTTCAGAAGATGTGTTTTAGATTTTGCATTAGAAATTGAATCTCTTAGGATGAAACTATGAACATTTAAAATTTTTGCTTTTAAACTTTTTGTAACAAATTAATTATTCAAGAAAATATAGTAAGGGAATACAGACAGCTTCAATCATTTCTAGATAGAATTAGATAGATTTTTAGATATAACACATTTCTTACTAAGAATTTGATCTTCTTTTGATCTTTTAATTGCCGTTCAAGAATAATTACAGGTTCTTTAAATATTTATTATATGTACTAAGTATAATATAATACTTTTAATCATCGGTAAAAGTAAAATCAATAGTGTCCATTATTATTTATAATACGTCTTCGCTTTTAAAAAACTAAAATATTAAGTTGCATACCATTCTGCTTGAATACTTATAATTTTTTTAAGTATAGATTTTTAATTATTATACAAAAAGATATATTTTTATGATTTTTGTTATGAATCTTGTAAAGACTGTTCCTAACTGTAAAGGTACATTTCTTCGTGAAAACTTAATTATCATACTATATTTATTTATTACTATATTTTCAAATTTGCACATTAATAGAGGATGGCAATAGGATACAAATTAGTTTAATAAATGATCTATACGGCTGAAACGTTTTGTGAACAAAATATTAGGATTTTAGATACAACTACAGAAGAAACGTGTGGCTGAGATCCCGGAATACATAAGTTGAAAAAACATAAAAAAAAAATTATTATTTATTATTGAAGAAAATAAGATTCTCTCTCTCTCTCTCTCTCTATATATATATATATATATATATTATTAAGTTTACGGAATATGTAGGCTTAAGATTTCACTCTCAAAGTTGATAATTAGCAAGTCGTTAAAAACATTATATAATTTGAAAATTATTTAATTACAAATTTTACATACTAATTTTTTTATATAGAATACCCAATTGAAGAAATATTTTCTATTTTATAATTTTAATTTCAATTGAAAAATTTACTACCAAAAGTCATATCTACATAGATTTTTATAAAGTATTATATAAAACTTGTTAATCGATAGTTGATAGATAGATAAAAATAGATTAATTTATGATTAATTCTATTTTACATAATTATATCTATTTATAATGATTATTATACGTAGTTGAATTGCAATGATAATAATTATAATGATTTTGATTGAATAATGAGTATAAAAAATTTTAATTTCATTATGATTAGATCATTGTAATTTTGTATCAAAATTACTTTTAATCGATTGCTCATACTTGTAAAACTTATCAAATAAAAGGAAAAATTCTTATTGTATACAATTTTCTCAAGATATCTCCAATGCATTTTTATCTTATGTTGCTTCTGATATTAGAATAAAATCTTTTTTATCGAATTAATTTTCGTAAGAAGTAGCTTATTGAGGGAATGAGCATCAGTCGGATTGTAGGAATCAATCGGTATTTTATGAAATTCGTTTGACTGTTTCATATTGTAAAGCCATCTAGCTGATGATTAGTTAAACTAGTCCTTGAAGTCTCTTGATCCTGTGCGCCCGCATCTCGCGCTGAATACGCGCGTACTTTGAAATTATATAATAATTGTAAAGTCGTACAAGTGTAGGATGAGCTGAATAGTAATATTAAATTTAGTTCTGGATTTTTTCTTATTTCTTCAAAAATTTGCATGGAGTAAAGAATTTATTTACCTTTCATTTTAACATTTTAATTTAAAGATGAAATTCATATTTTGTTTGAACGTAATTCAAAAGCATTATTCAACAATAGAGTAAACTAAAGTCTAAACTGCCTTAAATTTGATCGATAAGTTATATAATCTGTTAGTTAATTATTCTCCAGATTCATTTTATTGAGTAATATTTACAGAAATATATTAATATAATTGATTGTTAGAAATTGAATAAAAATTATTCGAACAAAGATTTTCATACCGTCTCATTGAATTTAGAAATTTTAATGTATTTAAATAGCAATAAAGTACAATTCAATGAAATATAGTATCAATATGTAGATTATATATTATATATTATTCATTTATCTATGTGTGTAAATATCTTTTTCTATTATTATCAGATATTATTACTAAAATCAATCTTTATAATCATATTTTATAAAAGCTAATATTGTACAACGTATTGTTTTATTTTATACAATTTCTGAATTTATTAACACTAGCATTATATAGTCTAATAGATTTTGAATTTGACAATTTTACTTGAATATGCATTTAATAATATATATTAAGGATAATTTATATTAAAATAATAATATTAAATATTTCTATACATATATACATTATTATATACTAGAATAATTTTGTACATTTTTATTTTGATGATATACATTTTATTATTTGGCATATTGATAAAGGAACATTTGCATTTCAAATTAACGATATAAGACACATTTGTATTACAAAATTCAATTATTGTTCGATATTAATATAGTGTCTATCATGGTAAAATGTATAATGACATTTAGGTTTCATTTTTTTTCTTAAAGATAATTACTATTGGTCATAAATCACAACCTATATGATTTATTATAAATTATACAGTAATATTATATAAATAAAATTATTTATATAACAAAAATTATTTATGAATATCATTTAGTTAAATGATCAAAAATATTAAGAAATTATAGAAAGTATATATGTTTATAAAATAAATGTATTCATAGACGTTAAATAACCTCTTATACTTTGTACATACGTTACTTAATTACATAAAATAATTTTTCAATAGATATTTTACTTTGCAGAATATAAATAATATTTTCTTCTTAAATACATCTATAAGACAAATACACTTATACGATATTGTTATGGCTGACTATTTTTACAAGTTTCTACTTCGAAAAATCAAATTCGTAAAACAATATTATTATTGAAGTATCTAATATAAAAAAAATTGTCCCTAATAAATATAGTGCGGCATGATTATTAATAAATATTGTTTTTTACCATTTTAAAAATTGTATAATTTATTTATTAATTAGAACATTTAAATCTGAAAAAAATGACACATTGACAACATTAGCCCAGTAATAAAAAAATATTCAAGTGGAAATATTGTTTGTCTGAAAGTTAAGACCTAGTATCTTCATATAAGGCCAATTAAGTTTGGCAATAAAATGTTCATATTGCATGTAGGTATTATTAAAAAATAAGTTTTACGTAATATATGTTGATATAATTTTTTTATATAGAGAAATCGTTGTTTCATTCATTTTATTATGGTATTTGAGAATATTGATATGCATAATATTTAATGAAAAATTATAATCATTGAAATATACAAAAAAAAAAAAAAAAAAAAAAAAAAAAAAAAAAAAAAAAAAAAATCAAAGGAAATATTTTACTTTTAATGTATTTATTTTTAGTCAAATTTTAATAATAGCACTTGATTAACAAAAATTCACAGCTATTAG